CGTATCTTCTCTTACCCTGGGCGTAAAGCGAAGCCTTTCCGGCCTTGTATTGGGTCACTCTGTGCTGGGTGTGTTTTCTGCAGTTCTTGCCCTTGCAGTAGGTCTTTCTGGTCTTTGGAACGTTAACTGAGGTTAGTAAGGAGGATGGGATGATGCCAGTAAACTGAGCAGGCCAGTCTAGTCTGACATCCTATTCTAATCAATACATACCCATTTCGATATCTGTGAAAGTCCTTGTAAAAATGTTTTAATATTTTTCACTCGCAAGATTCCCACTGCACACCACCGCCACGCGGGCTGGCCGAAAAATTTACGCCCGGCCAGTTTTCGCGCGAAGCAAGCACGGGGCGTTCCCGTGGTGCGAGGGTTGTATTTAACATCACGTGACACGTTTAATAGGCAAAAAACTCACATCACTCCTCTCCTTCATCCGTCCCCGACCCCCCACTTCTATTACCGTGGACACCCGTTCCAAGGTGTAAATAACTTCATTAGTACGGAGTAAATTCATTAATATATCTCATTGTATCATTACCACGTTCATCCTGCCAGCTGCGAAACATATTGCTTGAACCTCGCCAGCTCGGCCGGCAGCTGCACATAGTGGTTTGACGCGTCCTCGAACTCAAAGCTCAGCACCTTGCCGTAGTACTTCATCTTGAGCTTGATTTGGTCCGTCATCTGCGACAAACTGCTGACATAATCAAAGATCTTGATCAGGCCGTAGATGTTGTCGTTGACCACTCTATACTGCTCCACAGCAGTCTTGAAGAGCCCTGAGCCGAAAAGGGACTGGTACTGGGATGGGGTGAGGAAATCGACGAGCAGCGATAGGTAGTTGTTGAGGCTCGTGCCATCTCTGGACTTCTTGTAACCCTGGTTGATGACGAGCGCCGTGGCAAGCTCGGTTTGTTTCTCGTTCGAGTTGAGGTACGACACGAGGTTCAGGAGCGACTCGTTCGACAGCACGAGGCTGTCTTTGATGATGATTTCTCTTGTAAATCTGATGAGGTTCTTTCTGTCCATTCTGTCGAGCGCTGCGCCGACAAGAGTGTCGACCATCGACGAGAGATACTCGTAGTCGTCGTGCTGAACAAGCTGGTCGATAGCCTCGTCGAAATCTTTGCGCGGCACAATCATGTTCCAAACCTGTAATGCCGAGCCGAAGTCGTTAGCGTCGAGAAACTTTCTCATCACGAACGCGAGACTGGCCACAGACACCTCTGGCAGCCAGTCGACAGCGTTGAATCTGAGGTACGAATTGTACGCCTTGGCAGGGTCCAGGGCAGCCTGGCCGGCAATGAAGCTAGAGAGGAGCTTGGAGAGCGCACGCTGCTCTGACTTGTCGCAGTGGCCGACAACCTGGTCGAGAAAAGCGGTCGCCTCGGCAGACTGGCCGCATAGAAGGAGCGACTCGAGCATGACAGCGTAGATGTCGTACTGCTGCGCCTCCAGCACCTTGGCATCAATGCTGTCGTTGATATCGTGGTATAGGGCGTTGACAAGGCCGGTGTTTTTAGAGAAACCGGCGTATTTGAGCAGCTGCAAAAATAGGCTCAAGTTTTCGGTCAAATCAACACGTGACTTGAGCAGCTCGTAGAGCTTGTCGGCAGCAAGAATCTGCACACACTTGAACCTGTTTAGGCCCCGCACGAGGTCGTGGTAAACGGCCTGGTCGAAGCAGATCGCCGCGTTGGAGTTGTGGCTGATAAGGAACAGCTCGAGCGCAATGCGGAAGAAGTCTTTGCTGTTGCGGAACTCGCCCATGCTATAACTGTTCTGCGCACCCTTCAGCAGTGGGCCCACAACCAGCTCGTATGTCTCGTCGGATGGCTTCAGGTTGTTGGACAACATGTCTGAGTACACGTTGAGCAGGTGCGTGAGCTTGTCCTCGGCGGACTCACCGGTATCGGTGCGTTGCGGGATCGAGCGCAAGACTTTGTTGTACAGAGCAGTGGTGGGAACTAAACCCTTGCCTCTGAGGTTGAAGTAGACGGCAAGCACCTCGCTCGGCCGGTTGCTGGAAAGCAGATCGTCAATCAAACGTTCGTGAACCGAGAGTGGGGAGGCCGGATCGGCTTTCTTCGCCTGCTCGGACTTCTCAGCATTCTCCGCCGCCTCCCCCATCTCCCCCACCTGGAGATCGCGCAGCTGTCTTTCCAGTTCGTGCACCGTGGAGTACTGTCTCCTGCCAGACGGTCTTTCCAGCGCAAAGGTGCGCACGGTCGTGGAATTCGACCGCCGAAGCCGTAGCTGGCAACGGCCGTTGGCCACCGCACCCACGTGTACACTCATGTGGCCATTCTTGTTTGTTTTGCCGCCTGCCTTCTTGAGCAGGATCGGGGTTTGCCCACGGGTCTCGTCGTCGGTGTTTCGCGACTGGCCGAATATCACATAGTTGCGCGTCACCATCGCCGCGGGCGTAAGAATGTTGCAGTACCGGCAATACCGTGTTTTGCGACCAGACTCCTCACGGGCAACGTCATCCACTATGAGTAGGTCCTGGGGCTTCGCGTAGGAGGGCTTGAAAAAGGGGTGCGAGTAGCACTTGTTGCCCGACGAAGACGACACGTTGGATGCTCGCCGCCGCGCAAACGACGCTCCTGTCCGTTCCGTGAGATTCACAAAGCTGCGAAGAACCATGTTGGAATTTATTTGAGGGTTGATGCACAATATATACATTCCTAAAAAATACGGTGCGGGACCCGGGTCGCGATTGGCAGACCCCGCGACATAAACGGTAGCAGCATTTTTTTCGCGAGCCCCTCATTGGATGGGTGAAATTTGACACGGGGTGCGAGGGGGGGATCTTTCATGGCTGCGAGCCCTCGTTGATCCGTGGAATCAAACCGCAAGGACTCACCACATACTCCTGGAGCCTTCGCTCCGGCCCCTGCGGCCGGCGAGAGACGGCTCCGACGCCGCCGCCGGCAAAGTAGCGCCCCGCCTGCTGGTGCGGGATCGTGTAATCTGGGGAGTAGAAACTGGCACCCCCTGATTTCAGAGCCACGTCCATCGACGTGGCGTCGCGGACAACGTACTTGCCCACCCAGCGTTCGTTTGCGGTCAACGTTGTCATGCACCGGATCGAATCGCGCAGGATCTTGCGCCGCGAGGGCAGCCGCAGGTCGGTCCCCCACTTGTACTGCATGCGCAGCTCCTTCTCGGGCGGCGCAGAAAGGCTTGAGCTGGACACCGACGTCGGCGGCGTGGCGCGCTGCTGCAGTGTGGGGGAGCTGCTCAGTCCGTTCGACAGCGATGACGGCGTCGACAGCACCGGGGTGGGCTCGGGCATCGCTTCCGTTTCAGCTTCGGCAGACGACGTCGACAGCAACGTCACGAGCGTCGCGTCGGACCCGTGCCGAGTGTGCTGCCCAGTGTGCTGCGCGTACTCGTACTCCTCCGCAGGCCCATCACCGTCGTCGTCGTCGAACGTCGCGTCTAGATGGTCGCTCTCATCGTCCGGCTCAGCCTCGTCAACACTCTCGTTCGCAGGCGACTCCAGCGACAGCGGCTCGTGGTCGGACACGTCCGAAAACACCGCACTCGGCTCGTCGTGCCGCATGTCGGCCAGTTTCGAGCCCGCCGTTGAAAACTTGCGTTTCCACCTCGACACCAGCGACGACAGGTCTGCCGAGCTCGCACGCCGCCGGAATATGCCAAGAGATGGCCGCCGTCGGCATCCGACCATCAGCGAGTCGCCGTGCTGTCTGTTGCGTCGCCGGCGGCGCGGCACAGTCCTATACTTTGGCATTTCGCGGCGAGTCAGGTCAAGCGAGTTGTCGATTCCTAGATTCAGGCAGCAGTACCACTCGATCATGCTCTCGACAGTCGGAAATTCGAGCAGAAACTGCTCTGTCTCGACGCGCAGCCGCAGCGTGTGTTTTTTCTTCTTGTAGTCGGTCGCTATGCCCACCTTGGCGTACTGAAGCGAGTACGAGCGCACCAGGTTCTCGGGCACTAGCAGGCCCTGTTGCGCGAAAGACGCCTTGTCGCGCAAGTCACGCGACGTTGTGAGTCGCGACTTGTACAGTTTCTCGTTGTCTGCCGACAAACAGCCCGCAGGCCGTGCCGCAGCGTCTCTATTGTAAATGTTGAGTTGTGTCGAGTTAAGCTCGACAATCACCGATCGCCACTGCCGCTGCGGCGCAAGCTCGTATGGCGAAATCCACTCCAACTTGCGCGACAGCGTTGCAATCTTATAAACAGTCGGAAGATAGTCCGGCAGCAGCTCGTACCCCTCATCTGGGTTCGCGTACACCGGTTTGGGTTTGCCCGGCACGAGCGTGCTGTAGGAGGGCGGAAACACTGGCGTGGGCTCCAGAAAAGTCAGCGCATCCATGAGCTCGGTCAGATCGAAGTTTGGCACAGACTGCGATCGCTGTTTGCTGCCTGGCGCCGTCTCGGGCCGGCGAGGAGGCTGAGTCGCCGACTCGGTGTTGGCCCTCGTGCGCGGATGCGTGGCCGTGCTGGCCGTGCGCTGCGCCTCTGCGTGGGCCGGTGTGTCTGGGTCAGGCCTGGACGATAACATAAAAATCGATTTCCTGTTGACTGTCATGTCCTGATGCTAGATTTGTGCGCGGTAGTGGCTGTAGGGGGCCATACAACTGATGCGTGGGGGGGAGGCTATTCTGCACTTGGAAGTTCGTTTGGCAGCACTATTTAAGGCTGCAACACAATATCTCTCTGGTCTGTGGGAAGAAAACACTTGATCCTGTGCAAATCACCGTAGCTCTTTTGTTTCAGGAGCGATAAAGGCGCACCCTTGCACCAGCCCGCCCGACGGGTGCGGGCCCGATGTGGGGGGTCAGTGCCGCAGGACCGACCGAGACGAACACATGCACCGCATGCGTTCCATGCATTTGTTCCACCCCTTGTTCGTCAGCTAGACCCCAGTTGCCCCCACATCGACCCGACTAAAAATTACACATCAATTTTTCCATTTACATAAATTCCAACTCCTATTCGCTACCATGTCTGGCCCCATGTCTGGCCCCGGTAGAGAAAAAGACTCGCGCGACGGCTCGCTCAGGCTGGGCCACGGCCGTGTTCCCTCTACCGCTCTTGGCTCGCCCGCCCTGTTGTACGGGGCGGTCAGCGACAGCGACGGCTCGCGATCGATGGGGTCTGCCAGTATGTCGCGGCACGTTGTGCGTGTGCGCGAGTCGCCTGTCCTGACACTATCCCAGAAGGCGGCGTATTATTTGCCCTGCTCATCGTGGTTGCCCGCATACGGCCTCGACCTATTTGTGCACGACGTGGTGGCCGGGCTGTCTCTGGCGTCGTATCAGATCCCGCTGAGCATGTCTTTCGCCAACGCGGTGGCGCACGTGCCGCCCGTGTGCGGCCTGCTGGGGCTGTCGCTCGCGCCCGCTGTGTACGCAGTGCTGGGCACTGTGCCACAGATGATTGTGGGGCCCGAAGCGGCCGTGTCGATGATCATCGGGCAAGCGATCGAGAAAGTCGTCAAGCACAATGACGGCGTGAATCCTGTGGATATTCTTGTGGTGATCACATCGTTTTCAGGCGTGATTTTGCTTGTGTTCGGGCTGCTGCGTTTCGGCTTCATCGACAACGTGCTGTGCGGCACGCTGCTCCGCGGCTTTGTCGCCGCGATCGGGCTAACCATGATTGTCAACTCAACGATCGCGATTCTCGGCATCGACACGGTGCTGCTGCTGCTGCCGCCCGACGAGCACGTGCACTCGGCCGCGGAGAAGGTGAGATTCATCTGGCAGCACGGCCACCAGTACCACGCGGCCACCCTCGCGGTCGGCACCGCAGCGTTGTTCGTGCTGCTGGCGGCCAGCACGCTGAAAAAGACAATTGCCCGGCGTCACGTGCGCGCGGCGTCTTTTTTCCCCGAGATCCTGTTCGTGGTGGTGCTCTCAACAGTGCTCTCTGCGCACTTCCGCTTCGACAAAAAGGGCATCCGTGTGCTCGGCACGGTCGACATTGACGAGTTCCAGTTCACGGTGCCCTTCCGCAGCGAGCTGCGGCAATGGTATCCGCAGCTGTTTTCGACGTCGTTCATGTGTGCCATACTGGGCTTCTTCGAGAGCTCCTCGGCGGGCAAGAGTCTTGGCTCCAGCCTCCCGATGCCCGTCTCGTCAAATAGAGAGCTCGTGGCGCTCGGCACCGCCGGTCTCGTGCTCAGTTTTGTCGGTAGCCTTCCCTCCTTTGGTGGCTACGGCCGCTCCCGGCTCAACTCGTTCATGGGGGCGAAAACCCCCGTTGCCGGCCTCGTGATGGGGCTGGCCACGCTGCTGGTCACCACGTGCCTGCTCAGCTACGTCTACTACCTGCCGCTGTGCGTGCTGAACGCCATCATCGCTACAGTCGGCCTGACGTTGGTCCAGGAGACTCCACGTGACGTGCGATTCCATCTGCGCACGCGCGGCTACAACGAGCTGGCCACGTTCGTCGTCACGCTCGTCGCGTCGCTCGTCTACTCTATCGAGCTCGGCGTCGCGCTCGGATGCTTCTACTCGGTCGTTCGCGTGATCAAACACTCCACCAAGTCACGCATCCAGATTCTGTCCAGGGTGGCGGGCACCGACGAGTTTGTCAGCTCCGACTTTGACGAAAACGCCGTCGGCCGCTCCGACACCACCACCTACCCGTGCGAGGAGATTGTCCCCGGCTACTCAGAATATCGCCGCCAAAGCTGCGCCGGCCAATCGGTCCCCACCAAGCCCAGCCTAGAGGACAGAGAGGCGTGTCTGATCGTCAGGGTGCCGGAGCCGCTCACTTTCACCAACACGAACGACCTCAAGGCGCGGTTGCGGCGGCTGGAGCTGTGTGGCTCCGTCAGCGTGCACCCAGCAGCACAGAAAAATGACCGGCCAATAAGACACGTCGTATTTGACCTGGACGGCATGACGTCGGTGGACTCGTCCGCCGTGCAGATCCTTCGAGACGTGATTGTTGCATACCAGCGGCGCGGAATAAATGTCTTCTTCTGCAGGGTCTTCAAGAGTGCGAAATTGCTCGACCGGCTGCAGCTCTCGGGCATAGCAGCCCTGCTACAAACCACCCAGGGCAGCGAGTTCGGCATCGCGCAAAACTCGCCGCCGTACTACGACGAGATTCTCGACGCCCTCAGAGCAGTCGACACCGTCGAGACCGCATGCACGCTCGCCGAGGAACAAAGCCTGGTTTCCTACTACGACGGACTATAGCCGTGGCGGATTTTTTTTCTTCTCCACGGCGATTTCGGCACTATTATGTGAGATATATAAACCGCCCGCTTTCTAATTTCGGGACGCAATGAAGATCCTCGCGCTGTACTGGATTATCGGGGGCATACTCAGCCTGGCTGCCGCCGCCAGCACCACCGCGAGCGCGGGCCAGGGCCATGATCACGTGACACAGGCCACACAGAGCCCAGATTCCGGCGAAAACCCGGACGAGCGCGAGGGCGCGCCCCAGGATGCGCGCAACGGCTTCAATGACGGCAAGGTCCGCACCACCTACTTCACGTTCCAGGGAAAAGTCAAGAAATACGTTTATTTGGACAAACTGCCCGGCGACTCTGACGAAACCGTTCTCGTCCTGACAAACCAGAACGAAGTCTTTGTGACTCACAACCAGGGCCAGGTTTGGGAAGAGGTGGCGCCCAACGACGAGTTTCTCGACATCTACGTCGACCCGTACCGCTCGACCAACGTTTATCTGCTGGCCGTCAACGACAAGATAGTGTACTCCTTGGACAGAGCAGACAACTGGAAATCGTTCCGGACGCCCAGTAAGGCTGTTCCAGGCATTGCGACGCTGTACTTCCATCCGTCGGACCCAAAACGGCTCATTTTCATGGGCCAGGAGGGATGCAACGACCCCTACTCCAAGGCGTGCCGACTGGCGGCGTACCACACATATGCGTCGGGCAAGCGGTGGCTGAGGATCCAGGAGAACGTGCGGCGGTGCGAGTTTGCAGGCGGCGAGTGGATCCTATGCGAGAAGGATGCCAACGAGGCCACGGAGTACCGCTCGAGTCTCGTTGCGTCGGCCGACCTGTTTAAGAGTCGATCGACGCTGCTCGACAGACTCGTCGGCGTCGCCCGCGCCGGCGACTACTGGGTCGCAGCAACAGAGACCGCCCACGACGCTCTGCTGCCGCACGTCTCGCTCGACGGCATCTCGTGGGCCGCAGCACGCCTCCCTCCAAACATCCAGCTCAGCAAACGGCAAGCCTACACCGTTCTTTCCGGCAGCTCCAAGGCCGTGTTTATGCACGTGACCACAAACCCCGTGACGGGCACCGAGTACGGCACGCTGCTCAAGTCCAACAGCAACGGCACGGAGTACGTTGCGATCCTCGATAACGCGAACCGCGATGAGGGCGGATACGTTGATTTCGAGAAGATCACGGGGCTCGAGGGCTTGATTATTACGAACGTGGTGGCCAACCCGGGCGACGCCAGTAAAGGAGCCAAAAAGCGAGTCAGGTCGATGATCACCCACAACGACGGCGCGCAGTGGTCGCTGTTGCAGCCGCCCGTGGTCGATTCTGAAAACCAGCGGCTGTGCAGTGGCCAGAGCCTCGAGCAATGCTCGTTGCACCTGCACGGGTTCACGGAACGCGTAGACTACCGCGACACGTTTGCGTCGGCCAGTGCGGTCGGCATGATGATTGGCGTGGGCAACGTCGGCCCGCAGCTCGGCAACTATTACGACGGACACACCTATTTGACAAAGGACGGCGGAATAACGTGGAAAGAGGTGAGGAAAGGTGTTTATTTATGGGAGTACGGCGACCAGGGCTCGGTGATCGTTCTGGTGAACGGCAAGGACAACACCAACGTTCTGAGCTACTCTGTGGACGAGGGCGACACGTGGGTCGATTTCCAGTTCACCAAGGAGCAAGTCACGGTAGAGGACATTTCGACGGTGCCGGGCGATAACTCCCTGGTGTTCTTGCTATTCACGAGGGTTCCGCTGGCCAGAGGTGACAAGACGAGAGTGTTCCGGATCGATTTCAGCCAGCTGCTCGCGAAAAAGTGCTCGGATGCTGATTTTGAGACTTGGACGCCCAAACACCCGTTCCAGGCAGACAACTGTCTGTTTGGCCACGAAGTGCAGTATACACGCAAAGTTCCCGGTAGACTGTGCCAGATCGGCGGCCGCACCATGACAGAGCCGAAAATTGTCCGCAATTGCAAGTGCACGCGACAGGACTATGAGTGCGACTTCAACTACTATCTCACCAGCGACGGTCTCTGCCGGCTCGTCCCCGGCTACAGCCCGCCCAGCCACGAGGACATCTGTTTTGCCGACAACGCGCCCGTCGAGTACTATCCGGCTACCGGCTACCGTAAGATCCCGCTCTCGACGTGCGAAGGGGGCACCGAGTTCGACAAGAGCGAGTCGCCTGTGCCATGCAAGGGCCGCGAGGAGGAATTCAACCGTCTGCATCCGCGGCGTGGGCTTCTTGCTGCGCTGCTGCTGTGGGCAGCGGCCGCGGTGGTGGTTGGCTACAGCATGCGGTTTGCGTACAAGTGGTACACCTCGCGTCACGGCGAGATCCGGCTCGACGACGGCGGCGAGTTCACGTTTGTGGACATCAACGAGAGCGTGTGGGCGCAATGGCGGCGGTTTGTGGTAGAATCGGCCATTGGCTCGTTGATGGCGGTTTCCAGACAGCTAAACAAGCGCAGACGCCAGCAGCCGTTGGCTCCCGAGCCCGAACCTCTGCCGGAGCCGTCCGACGACGAGGACTTCACGGAGTAGTCTTGGCCCGTTTTGCGGCCGGCTCGTCGTCGAGGTCCAGCTCCTCGCTGCTTGAGACGACCTCCTCGTCGTCTGCGCCGTCTCCCAGACCGGGAGCAGCTTCTGTATAATATTTGGTAGCATGAGGAAACAGGTCTTCCACAATCAGTAAAGCGAGGTCCTCGCCGTGTCTGAACTCCTTGCCGGGCTTTTTCCCCGTCCAGGCAAAAAAGGCAAAGAACGATTTCATCCCTGCACGGTACTTCCTCTTGTCGGCGGGCGCTAGTTCTCCCTTGGCCTTGATCAGGTGCGGGTTAATGCTGTCGAGCTCTGCAGGCCATTTTATGTCCACCGCGTCCGAAATCAGCTTCTCCTCTCCCGTCTCAACGTCGTGGATTTTTTCAAACCGTTTCGTGACCGTCTGCGTCTCGATCTCGCCATTGGGAGCCTCGAATCCAAACGTAATGCTAAATTTCATGGGGTCGTCATCTAGAAGGTACTCCACATATATCTCCTTGATAAACTCCAGATACTTCATGTCGTCCGTCTGGATGTACTCCTGGAAATCCTCGTGCTCCGCCAAAACAATGTACCAGAAGCTGGGAATGTGCACAAACAAGTCTCGTCTTTTTTCGTACACAGGCTTGGACTTGGTGAATCGGAATCTCTCGACCTCCTTCTCGACTTCGTCCATCTCCAGCTCACAATCGGCCAATTGGCCTAGCACCTTTTCAAGGGGTCTGAGTTAGGCAATACGTGAAAGTGCAGCGTACTTACTGTTCGGACATGAAAAATAAATAAGAAATAAATTATAAATATTCGAATATTAAATAAAATTAAATAATTTCCAAATATTAAATATGAATTAAATATAATTACAACTTATTCCTCCAGAATATACTCTGCCAGAATTTCCTCCCTCGACGGCCGACTCACCGGCCACACCGCCCCGCCGCCTACACCCACGTTGACCAGACACCCGTAGCACAGCGGCACATCGCTCTGGGCTTGTTTATTCGCTCTCTCGGACATCTGCTCCAGCCACGTCTTGGGGTCGCGATAAACCGCTTCCTGGCACAATATACATTGCTGCGCCATGCCCTGCGGCAAGTCGAGCTTCGTGCCGATCTTGACTACCGTCGAAATGACCTCCGGGTACTCGCTCTCGACCGTCTCGAAGTACTCGCACACCAGCTCGTTGACGGTCTTATTTTTCGCAGACTTGTGTTTCACGGACTCTTCAGTTGCAACCATTTCCTGCAACCCGCTAAATCTCACATACTCCTTGATTTCGGACGCCAAAACTTCGCGCAGCGGATGGATCACGTGCAAGGAGCATCCCACGTAGTCCATCATCCCGTCTGTGAGACGGTGTGCCGTCTCTGAGCCACGGCCCTTGACGGTGAGAGCAAGGACTTCCTCTGCCAAACGGCTCATCGAATGGCCAAAAATCACCACCGAGCAGCCGTGCGCCACAGCACTGCGGAAAACCACTTCGCGGACAACCTGCTGCCAAAAATCCTGCCGCGACGACCGGCTGTCGAACTGGAGCAACAGCTCTTGCAAATTTAGAGACTCGCTATTTTCTGTCCGGCGCACAGCGTACTCATCTGTCACCGCCACTTGGGCAAGGTCCCGCACAAACACCGCTGGATCCACCGTCACAAAATGCACCTCCAGCCTCTCCAGTACGCGCGAGTACCGCTTCCTCAGTCGCTCCATCCGCGCAGTGTCCTCACCCACGTGAAGCACCACCAAAACGTAGCCCTGAACAGCCCTCACATTCTGACACTGTTCTTGTAGATGCGAAATGACCATGTCGAGTAGCGCCAGCGACGAACTGCCGTAAGAAAGCGGCAGAAGAACTCTGGGCCGCTCCACTCTGGAGTTGCCAAACTTGACCTTGAACTTGTCGTCCTGCATCTGCTTGCGCTGCTTCGTGCAGAGAAATTTCGTAAAACAGGCCGCACAGAAATGGTCTTTACGCGAGACAACCACACACGGCTCTTTTTTGCACCGGTTGCAAACGTCCTCCAAAGCACACTCCATGATAAAGACCTGAAAATTTATTTATTTACTGGCTGTGCAAAAAAATAATCAATTAAATACAATTTCGCAATGCCGAACGAGAACCTCGACAACAAAACGTTGCGGCGGCTCGAAACACAGACAGACGACAAACCGAGCTTTGTGGAGAAGATCGACAACGAGATCAAAGTCAAATTTTATCCGGATTCGCCGACGCAGCGCGTGCACAAGGACGCTTTCCTCACCAAAACTGCGTCTAAATTCTACGACCCGTGCGCAAAGTCGTCGCAGATGGCCATCCGGTGCATGGAGAACCACGACGAGGACTACAAGGAGGTCTGCGGCGAGTATTTCCGGGCCTTCAGAGAGTGTAAGAAGGAGTGGATGAAAGAGCGCAGAAAAGACGGAGGCATATGGTAACCTTGTGAAATCCTGTATATATCACGAGTAGCTAAATGAGTACAATGAACCAAACAGATTGAGCCGGTTGGAGTAGTTCGGGCTGAATTTCAGCACCTTGGTGTGGTCGTGCGAGAAGTTGACGTTTTCGTTCAGGTATTGGATCAAAGTGTCCTTCATCTGGGCCTCTTCCTCCTCGTGTTGCTTGTTTTTGCGCTTGTTGAATGGGGCCCCCATCGGCGGCAACACGTTGGGCGATACAACCACAGGCAGCGGCGTCGACACGTCGTAAGGGATGGGCTTGATTTCTGGCTTGAACATGTACAGGTTCGGGTTGGTGATCAAGTTCAGAAGGAGCAGCTTCTGCACCCGCTGCCGTTCGCACTGCTTGTTAGTTTGCAGGTATTCGTGGAACTCGCGGTACTGTTTCGAGCTCTCTTCGCGCGAACGCACGCCGTCGTCGTTGAAGAGCCGGTAGATCCTCAAAAATGTCTGATAGTCCTCGAACAGCTCGCCGTCGTTTTCCTCAGAGCTCCAGTTGTTGCGGTCCAAATTCCCGGGTATCATGAACAGCTCGCCCGTGAGCCGGTTGATCGACACGTATAAATGCAGTTTCAGCTTGCTGCCGCTGTTTTTGTAGAGCTTGCGTGCGAGAACGTGGCCTCTTCGGTGGTTCTGCTGCTCTCTATTAATGTTGCGTTCGAACAGCAAGTTCTCGATGCGTCGCGACCGCCCGCTCGAGAGCTCCACGTCGTACAGCTCCTCGATGCCCACGTCGTCTTCGTTTTCTTCATCGTCGTCTTCAAATGCGTCGTCTTCGTCGTCCAAGTTCTCGACGATAAAATTGCGCTCTAGTTCGTCGTCGCTGAAATCCGAGTCTGTCGAGTATCCTTCGCCGCTACTTGCTTGCTGCCGGAAATGGAACGGTGGCGGTAGGTCCGAGTCGTGGCGCCATTGCTGTCGCGAAACCAGGTAGTCCAGCAGCCGGATGCGGCGCGCGCGGTTCTCGTCTCGTTGTCGTAAATTCTCCATGAAATGCTGATGTCCAGTGCCAAATATAAATCCTCTAGTGTGCTCGTTGTTGTAGTACTGCGGGCGGCCGATGTGTGTGAGCGGGACCGAGATTGCGGAGGCGGGATTCGATGCGGACTCCAGCGACGAGTTCCCGACGCCGGCGTACGTCGTCAGCGGCTTGAGCCGTCTGCGCCGCTTGTACCGCATGTCGTTTCGAATTTTGAGGTCGGTGCTGGGCGAGCGTGAGTCGCGAAGCAGGTCCTCGATGTCCACCTCCAGCTTGATTAGGATGAAATTCTCCATAATCAGGTCCTGGCAGTGCGGACACACGAGCAGGTTCTCCGGGTTGTTCATAGTCTTGCGTCTGCCACCCGGGGGCGTAGGCGGAGCCGGCGTGTTAACAAACTCGTTGAACGGCGGCAGATCAAACCATTTGGCCAGACACTTGTACGTGCATCCCTTGTTGCCACACATGTTGGTGATCTTGTGGAAAATCGAAGAATTGGGGAACTTGGTCTCTTTCGGCTTTGGTAGGCCCGTGGTGCGCGACCCGTTGCTCTTCAGATACCCAAACTTGTCCAAATAGAACGGCTTCCAGTTCGGGTCGTCGTCGTTCATGCGCTTATGTCTGCCAATGTACTTGCGGAAATCTTTATCGAAGCAGAGCGTATTTCTCAGCAAGTTGCTGAAAACAGAGCCCTCGATGCCCATCTTGGAGCCGTCGCCGCTGCGCAGGTCGTTCTCTATAAAATCCACAATCTTCCCAACAAACTCGACGCCTGCGCGGCCCGTCTGGATCGTTCCCTTGACCTTGAGCTCGTCCTGAAACAGCTCTGTAAATCGTAGCTCCGAGGAGATATCATCATCGTTGCGCAAGATATACGTCATTCCCGGCTGCACAAAGCTGCTGCGCTGCACGCCAGCCGGTCTTGCCGCTTCTCCTATCTGCGAAAACGTGCGTTTCCCGACAGCAGGCTTAGGAGCAGCGATCTCGGCCCTTTTGTCGGCCATGTTCTTGTTCATGAGCCCCATGAGCCCCATTACCCGGATGCAGTCCGAAAGCTCGCCGTTCATGCAGTGTTCCGGGTGATTTCTGAAAAACGTGCTTGAGACCGCGTTGAACGGATCATTGGTCAGCACTCGAGGGATAATGCTGAGATCATTTTCGTTTGACCATCTAATGTGGTCGTGCTGCTCATCTGGCCCAAGGTCCTGGCTGCCGGCCCGGTCTTGCCGCGGAGTCGCCATGGCCGCGCGGGTTCTGCGGTTGCCGGTCAGGGGAATGCGAACTCTGAATGAATTAAACTGGTGGTTCAGCTGTTCCAAATCCTCGCCACTTGGAGGACTATTGCTGCTGGAATTCTCTCTTTGTTGCAATCCTTCACTTGAAGGCATACTAAAGGAGGTGCTCTCCCTGCGGTTCGATCAGTGTAGATGAAATCGGCTTAGACAGTACTCCTTTTTTCTTGCCCTTGTTAAATATGTTATTCCTGATCGCCCGGAAATAAATGACAGATGATGTTTTGACGCAAAACACGACGGCGACGCAGGGGACATGGCAGGCACTTGCCAACACAGGCAGCATGCTGGGTTTGTCCAGTTCGTGGCCGTGGTGGCGTGCTGAGCGGGGCCATGGTCGCTCGGCCGACGCGTCGATGTGCAACCACCAGGGCCGGGTAAATGTGGGAGTCTAAATTGGATAACCTCAGGGTTTTTTTTTCTCACTCGAAATATACTCAGCTCTTTTCTGGTTTATTGCAGTATTTGGGTGTACTGGTTTCAGTGCGGTTGAAAGCGCCTGTTTTTGGTGGAATGCGCGGAATGTTGTTTTCGACGCGGTTTGTGCCATTTTCGGCGAAAACCGGCTTCTCGTGGGTCTAAAGACACGGTAAGTATGACATCCACGAGGTTACGAAGCCAGAAATGCCTGAAGATTGCGGGCTAATGCCCGCGCCCGTTTTTCGGGGAGTCTCGATGCTTGTACCGGCTGTGGCGGGCTGAATTCGGCTAATTTTTGAGTTGGAAGCAGACAAGACCTGTTTTTCGAGACGGTGGAGCCACTAGAAGCTTTCCAGCTGACCCGGTTGCCTCACTTTGGCCATCTGCGCACCGAAAGAGGCCACAAAACGCACAAAATGCCATACAAGCTCGAAATCGGGCCTTTTCTTGGCTGTTTCTCCAGCAACGTCTTTTGAGATCTTGTCTGGTTTCCTCAGGGGCCTTTTCTTTGCAAATCACTGCAAAAAACGGTTGCTCTGGCTGCGCAGGACAGCGCCAGGACTTGTTCAGGCCCCCAAATCGCTGGTGTTCCTGCTCTTTGTACCCGAAATATACCAAAACACAATCTCGGCCTGCTATTTGGCTCTACTGCGTGCCAAAAGCCCCAGGTTTCGGCTCCTGGAGTGCGTAAAACATCTACATCACCCCGCGACGTGTGATCTGATTACCCTCCCTGTTATTTTGCGGAATGAGATGTAAATTTTTTTTCCACTAAGGTCAGGTTACTGCTGACTTTTATACCTGTTGCAAAGTAATAAATTGGCTGGCTCAGGTCTGCGCAAACGCCTCAAGTCGCTAACACGAGCTTTAAAGACAAGAATCGCGGAAAGAACGCCTTTTTTTACGCTTTTAGACACGTTATTACCTGACCGTTGGAAATCGCTTTGACAGGTAAACATTCGTTGCAAACAGTGTTCTGTGCCGCTCAAACACATACCTAACACGAAATGTCCACAGATATACGCTCGGAGATAGAAAGCAATCCGGAACTGTATGGGCTGCGGCGGTCTGGAAGGGCCAGATCAAAGCCGTTGGGCCTGGCAGAGTTTTCTGACGAGGAGGACGAGGATTACACGGCAAAGAAGACGACGCGTCAGAAACGCGCGTATTCAGATGAGGAAGCCGCCTTGGACGACGACGTGCTGGACTCGGACGACTCGGAGTACGGCGGGAAGAAAAAGAGAGGCAGGCCTCGGAAGAAGAAGCAGCCTGCGTACAAGCCATCGGAACAGTTTCCTGGGTTCACAGAACTGCGGTTGTCGAACAGAAGCAACCGGGCGGTGAATTACGCTTTGGACGCCGACGACGACGATTTTCTGGAGTCCGAGGACGAGGACGGAGAGGCTCCTGGAGAGTATTATTCTGCAGAGCCGGAAGAGGTGGCTCCTGAGGAGGGGATTGACCAGGTTCTGGACCACCGTGTGATCGGCGAGGAGTCGGACGTCTCGGACGACGACGAGACGAAGTTCGAGGAGCACAAGAAACGCGTCCAGGACGTGCTTGCGAACGGAGACCCTAAAAAGGATTTTGAATACATGATCAAGTGGACCAACACGTCGCATCTGCACAACACGTGGGAGACGTACGACGCGATCAAGAGCAGGAACGTCAAGGGCATGAAGAAGGTCGACAACTACATCAACTTGTACATTATCAACGACAGAGAAATCCGCAAAGACCCGTTTGTCACGAGAGAGGATATCGAGCAGATGGAGCTGGAAAACGAGACCAGACGCGAGAATTTGCAGGAGTACAAGAAGGTGGAGCGGATCGTCGACAGCGAGCGGGTCACGCTCGAAACGGGCGAGTCCGACCTGCGGTACTTGGTCAAATGGAAGCGGCTGAACTATGACGAGTGCACGTGGGAATCGGGCAGCGAGATCGCGCCGCTGGCGCCGCACGAGGTGACCAAGTTCCAGAACAGACAGAACTCCAAGATTCTGCCGGGTCTCTCTGCGTCGTACGGCTCCAACAGGCCGCGATTCGAGAAGCTGACGTCGCAGCCGCTGTTCATCAAAAACGGCGAGCTGCGCGACTTCCAGCTGACGGGGCTCAATTGGATGGCGTTTTTGTGGTCACGCAACGAGAACGGCATTCTTGCCGATGAGATGGGGCTCGGAAAGACCGTCCAGACAGTGTCTTTTCTGTCGTGGCTGATCTACGCCAGACGGCAAAACGGCCCGCATTTGGTGGTCGTGCCGCTGTCGACGGTGCCTGCGTGGCAGGAGACCTTCGATAAGTGGGCTCCGGACGTCAACGTGATCTACTACATGGGCAACACCAAGTCCAGAAAGGCGATCCGTGACTACGAGTTCTACATTGGCGGCAACCGCAAGAAGGTCAAGTTCAATGTGCTTCTGACGACGTACGAGTACATTTTGAAGGACCGTGCGGAGCTGGGAAGCTTCAAGTGGCAGTATCTGGCTGTCGACGAGGCGCACCGGCTGAAAAACGCCGAGAGCTCGCTCTACGAGAGTTTGAGCGAGTTTAAGGTGGCCAATCGACTGCTCATCACGGGAACTCCCTTGCAGAACAACCTCAAGGAACTGGCTGCGCTCTGCAACTTCCTGATGCCGGGCAAGTTCCAGATCGACCAGGAGATCGACTTCGACACGCCTAATGCCGAGGCCGAGGGCTACATCAAGGCGCTCCAGGCTGCCATCAAGCCCTTCATCCTGCGCAGACTCAAAAAAGACGTCGAGACGTCGCTGCCCGGCAAGACCGAGCGTATTCTCAGAGTCGAGCTCTCCGATATCCAGACAGAGTACTACAAGAACATCCTCACCAAGAACTACGGCGCCCTGAACCAGGGTCCGCGCGGGTCGCAGATCTCGCTGCTCAATATCATGGCCGAGCTGAAAAAGGCCTCGAACCACCCGTACCTGTTTGACGGCGTCGAGGAGCACGTGCTGGCCAAGGTGGGCTCGCACTCGAGGGAAAATATCCTCAAGGGCCTGATTATGTCTTCTGGAAAAATGGTGCTTCTGGACCAGCTGCTCAACAAGCTCCACAGAGACGGCCATCGCGTGCTCATTTTCTCCCAGATGGTGCGCATTCTTGACATCATCGGCGACTATCTGCAGCTCAAGGGCCACTCTTTCCAGCGTCTCGACGGCACCATCAGCTCGCACAAGCGACGGCTCGCTATTGACCATTTCAACGCGGAAGGGTCCAAGGACTTTGTGTTTCTGCTATCCACCAGGGCTGGCGGTTTGGGCATCAATCTCATGACCGCCGACACGGTGATCATCTTCGACTCCGACTGGAACCCGCAGGCCGATCTACAGGCCATGGCCAGAGCACACCGTATCGGCCAGAAAAACCACGTGATGGTGTACAGGTTTGTTTCGAAAGACACGGTCGAGGAGCAGGTGTTGGAGCGGGCGCGCCGGAAGATGATATTGGAGTATGCGATCATTTCGCTGGGCATCACGGACAATAACAAGTCGAAGACGAAGGCGGAGCCGACGTCTGGCGAGCTGAGCGAGATCCTCAAGTTTGGAGCCAGCAACATGTTCAAGTCGAACGACAATCAGAAGAAGCTCGAGAATCTAGACCTGGAGGACGTTCTGAACCATGCTGAGGACCACGTGACCACGCCGGACCTGGGCGAGTCAAATCTGGGCGGCGAGGAGTTTCTGAAGCAGTTCGAGGTGACCGACTACAAGGCCGACGTGGACTGGGACGATATCATTCCCGAGGAGGAGCTGAAAAAAATCAAGGAGGAGGAAGAAAAGCGCAAGGAGGAGGCATTCCTTCAGGAGCAGATCGAGATGGCCTCGAGAAGGCGTCTAGCGGCGGTGAAAAAACCAGAGTACGATGAGCAGGACGACGACGAGGGCCCGTCGCGGCGCCAGAAAAAGCTTGACATGAACAACCTGACCGAGTCGCAGATCAGAAACGTGTACAAGGCGATCTTGAGATACGGTGACATCAGCGAGCGGCTGGAGGAGCTTGTGGCCGACGGAACGCTGCCGAACAAGAATATCAAGATACTGGACCAGTGTCAGCGGGAAATCATGAAGACCAGTTCGCAGCTCGTGGCAGAGTACGAGGCAAAGCGTGCGGAGGAGCTGAAGGAGCTGGAGTCGAAGGCGATGGAGGAGAAAGAGCAGCTGGCAAAGCTGCCTCCGCGAGCAGACGGCCAGCCTCATCCGACGCCGGCGATGCAGTTGTACAGCGCTAGAAAGCGCGACAAGAAGGCGATTTTGTTCGACTACAAGGGTGTCAAGAATATGAACGCGGAGGTGGTTCTCAACAGGCCGCAGGAGCTAAAGCTTCTGCGTAGCGTAATACCTGCAGACGACCCAATGAAGTTCAAGCTAACCAAGGAGCCAAAGCCAGTGAATGGCTGGTCTTGCAAGTGGACTATCAAGCAGGATACTATGTTGTTGATTGGCGTGTACAAATTTGGCTATGGAGCATGGACGCAGATTAGAGACGACCCGATACTGGGGTTGCAAAATATGATGTATTTGGAGACGCCGCCGGCTGGCGCCTCGAAGGAAGAGAAGGAGAAGATGAGCAAGCGAATCCCGGCATCGATCCATTTGGTGCGGCGCACAGACTACCTACTGGGATTTTTAAAAGAGATACAGAGCAATGCTGGATCTCACACCGAGCCAAAAGAGCCAAAGAAAAATAGCCGGCCCAAAAAGACCACCAAGAAGTCGAGTACCCCGGACGTGGAATCCAAAAGCGGCACTCCAAAGCCTGTTGGGTCTGGCGCCTCGTCTCCAACGTCCTCGCAGCCTACATTGTATCAGGTGATGAAAAATAATAAGAGTTCTTCTCCAGAAGCACAGAAGCAGAAGAAGCCGGCCTCCAGTGGAACCAAGAGCGAGCATGACCTGCTGAAGCCTGTGGACAAGGACCTAAAGATCTGGGAGAGCAAGGGCAAGGGTCTGGATAAGGCAGAATGGGGGTCGAAGCTGAAAAGCTCTCTGATCAGCATTGGCAACCAGATCGAGAAGGTGTCGAAAAACGACGCCAAGCTGAACGGTAAATTGTGGGCCATGGCACAAAAATCGTGGCCAAATGCGGGCGTGAGCTCAGAGCTGATCAAGAAGATGTATCTGAAGAAGGTGGGTCAACATAAATAACCGAGAGAATGCACTAGACGATTCATTTGGCAGAGCCAAAAAAATAGTCGCGTCCAGCGACCACGGTCACTATTTCCCTTTTCAGACATGGCGTTGAGAACCAAAAAAAAATTTTCAGCAAAAAATACAATATTAGTAGAAATAAAAGTAGGTTTTTTTGGATCTTGTTCTTTCTAAACTACCAGTCTTTTGACCTTTAAACAAATAAATTATACATCCATCGCCAAGTTTGCTTTGACAAAAGTAAAACTAGGAGTATAATTTACGCTTTCCATCAAAAAAGTACAAAAAAGTCAAAAAAAAAACTCGAAAAACTCAAAATATCAAATCATCTTTTGAACCCTTTCACCAGCGTTCAAATTTTGTCTGATTGATAACAGTTCGCATCATGTCATCGGCAGAAATTAACCAAATCACCGAGCAGGCCGAAAAGTTGTCTGTTGCCGACCCGGCAGCTGCTGAAACCCCAGCCACCACCGCCGAGGAATCATCAACCGCTGAATCAACCCAGAACTCGGAGACTCTGGCTTCCCTCTACGTAGGAGAGTTGGACCCATCTGTCACGGAATCCGACTTGTTTGAGGTCTTCTCGCCCATCGGACAAGTCTCGACCATCAGAGTCTGCAGAGATGCCGTTTCCAAGCAATCCCTTGGTTACGCTTATGTCAACTTCCAGAGCCACGCCGACGGTGAGAAGGCTTTGGAGGAGCTGAACTACACCCCAATCAAGGGCAAGGCCTGCAGAATCATGTGGTCTCAAAGAGATCCTTCTCTCAGAAGAAATGGCTCTGGTAACATCTTCATCAAGAATTTGCACCCTGCCATTGACAACAAGACCTTGCACGACACCTTCTCTGCCTTCGGTAAGATCTTGTCTTGTAAGATCGCTACCGATGAAAACGGAAACTCCAAGGGTTTTGGTTTCGTCCACTACGAGGATTCTGAGTCTGCCAAGGCTGCCATTGAGAACGTCAACGGTATGCTTTTGAACGATCACGAAGTGTATGTTGGTCCTCATCTTGCCAAGAAGGACAGACAGTCGAAGATGCGCGAGCTGATCGCCAACTTCACCAACGTCTACGTTAAGAACATCAACCTGAACTGGGACGAGGATAAGTTGAGAGAAACTTTCAGCCCATTCGGTGCCATCAGCTCGATCTTCTTGAGTAAGGATGAATCTGGAAAGTCCAGAGGTTTCGGTTTTGTCAACTTCGAGAAGCACGAGGATGCGGTCAAAGCTGTTGAGGAGCTCAACAACAAGGAGATCGACGGGCAAAAACTTTACGTTGGAAGAGCGCAGAAGAAGAGCGAGAGAATGGAGTCTTTGAAGCACCAATACGAGGCTGCCAGACAGGAGCAACTGAACAAATACCAGGGCTACAACCTGTTCGTTAAGAACTTGGACGACTCTATTGACGACGCCAAATTGGAGGAGGAATTCAAGCCTTACGGCACCATCACTTCTGCCAAGGTGATGCTTGATGATGCAGGCAAGTCCAAGGGTTTCGGTTTTGTCTGCTACAGCTCTCCGGAAGAGGCTACTAAGGCCATCACTGAGATGCACCAGAGAATGGTGGCCGGAAAGCCTTTGTACGTTGCTCTTGCCCAAAGAAAGGAGGTGAGAAGATCCCAGCTTTCGCAGCAGATCCAGGCCAGAAACCAGATGAGAATGCAACAGGCTGCTGCTCAGGGTGGCATGGGTCAATTTGTTGCACCTATGTTCTACGGCCAGAACCCAGGCTTCCTTCCGCCAGGAGCCAGAGGCGCTCCATTTGCTGCCCCAGGCCAGCAGATGATGATGCAACAGGGCATTCCAAGACCTGGCCAGGGTGTTCCAGTGAGCCCAGGTCAATTCAGAGTGGGTCCTAACGGACAGCCTGTGCCAATGTACATGCAACCGGTTTTCAACGAATACCCGCAGAACGGTAGAATGCCTCAACAAAGATACTATCAAGGTGGAAGACCAGGACAACAGCCTCCTCAAGCGGGACCAAGAGGCAAGAGCGAGGACGGTGCTGTTCCATCGTTGGCTCAGGTTCTTCCGCAGTTCCCTCCCGAGCAGCAGAAGAGAATGCTTGGAGAGGAGCTGTACCCACTCATTGTCGCCACTGGTAAGGCTCAGGACCCAGAGGCTGCTGGTAAGATCACCGGTATGATGTTGGAGATGGACAACCAACAAATCCTGGCTCTGTTGGAGGACAGAGACTTGTTCAACAGCCAATTCGAGGAGGCGCTCTCTGCCTACGAGGAGTACAAGAACAAGGAAGCCAGTGCCTGAATTTGCTCGATGCAGGCGCTCTTTGCATTGCTAGCAGAATGAATGTGTACCACGATTTATACTGCTTGAGTGTCCCTTTATTTAGTTCTATTGGTTTTGTTCCGCTTTATAGACTACAATGTAGTTACTATGGAAGTATTGAACACCTAAAAGTATCAAATTCTGCTTAGAATATTAAAGTCTGTTTCTGCGTCTCCGGCCAGCCACACGGCCTGGTTAGTCACGTCTCTCCACAGCTCGATGTCTTCAGAGTCAGCCACCATGTTTGCGAGATCCGGCACGTCGCTGAGCGGCGCCATCGACGGCAGCAGCGACGGCGAGAAGAACTGGCTCTGGCTCGGAGCTTCCGACACCATTGGCGATAAGGTGTCTCGGAACAGATGGTTTCGAAGACCCGTTTCGCCCAGATGCAGACCCGAGTCCGGCCGGCTGAGTGAGGAGTCCCTATTGGCTTGGTCGTGATCGAAGTCGGGCGTTGGCGCGTCGACGTTGTCTGTGTGTTTTCTGACAAGCTCTAGGTTGCGGCCGTTGAAATCCAGCAGCGTCATAAGTTTGAGGACCTGATCGCGTCTGAGCGCGGCCGGGTGGTTGCCGAGGTTGCGCATCTTGGTGAACATGACGAGGGCGTGGTCCAAGTGCTCGAGCGTGGCGTCGTGGACGCCAAACGTGGCGTTGAAAAGCACCAGCGTAGCCGTGGACGTGAACAGATACTCTCTGTCCATGTAGCCAAACAGCGCAAGCATATTCTCCGGCACGAGCACCCAAAGCGAGCGAATGGTGTTGATAGAGGCCTGGAAGGAGGCGTTGAGCAGGGTCAGCACCGTGGAAGAGTACTTTGTGAGGTCGAGAAAGACGCCATTTTTCGGATTCTGAGCGCGCAAGTTCACAAGCACAAAATGGAATAGCAGGGGCCGCACCGCCAGATTGATACCCTGGAAGTACTCGGTCATCATGTTGACGACAAGCCTGCTGACGTTGATTTCTGGCTGCTGAAAGTCGCAGTTTACGTAATCGGGCAGCTGTTTCTTCCAGTTGAACAGGCTCACCACGAGGTCGTGCACGATAGGCAGGATGTTGCTGGACGGCTGGCGCGTGTACAGCCGGCGGAGGATGTTTGCGTTGATCTGGGTGATTTTCACACAGTTGCGAATAAACTCTGCCTCAGGGAAGATGTAATGTTCGCAGCCTGGTGGAGGATTCGACATGTCGAAGTCGTCGGGCAGCTCTGTGGAGATGTCGTCGTCGGTGAGCGAGAGCGGCAGCCCAGCTTTGGACGCCAACATCCGCTCAAAAATATACACGGTCCACCAGAGTCGGCGACGATGCTCGAGCTCGTACCGATTGATGGAGTCTTTGCCGACGTCGACATGGAAGCCAAGGATCAGCGATGCACGTAGCGCTATTCCAAAGTAGAAGTACGACGAGATCGTGCAGTCAGCCACTTGCAGGTAGAATGCGTACAGCAGCAGCACCTCGATGCCTCCCTTTTTCGCGCAGTTGTCGATGGCTCCGCTGGAGAAGAGCGCGGTGAAAAGCTCGCTGGCTTGCAGGAAAAACCCGGAGCCAGGCAGCCGTGGCGACTTGGCCAGTTTCTGTTTCTTGCGCTTGTCGTTCAGCTTGTATCCATTGAGATCGTTCACGGTCCCGAGATATATTTCTCCCACCGCAAAAATAAGCAGCACCTTGCAGAACCAGATGGTTTCCAGTACAGACTCGTCCTTGCCGTCTCCGCCGAAATCGGGCTTGGGTCCGCTCCCGTCGTCGTTGTAGATCCGTCGCAAGTTCTCCTTCACCAGTCCCTCGTTGAAGAAGTAAAAACACCCGTCGTTGTACGAAATAAACGTGTCTACAAGTAACATCGCGTAGCTGTAGCTGGGCAGCGCGAAGTTGACGTTCGTGCCCGACCGCGACGGTGTTTGTCCCAGCATGATTCTGTACGCGTTGCCCTCGCGCTCAAGCACGGTGTCGCCCATTGAGCCCAGCTCCGGCGCTTCCAGCGACTGTGAGCCACGGCTCTTCATCAGCGGGGCCATCAGCCGGTTGATCTCCAACCCGAAAAGAGTCATCGACGAATTGCCGATATAGAACCCCTCACCCGTGCGCGAATGCACCATGCTGCCGTACTTGTCCAAAAACGGCGGGATCACCTCGCTGCCCTTGTGTTCTGTTTTGTTTTCGTGGTTCAGCAGCTGGTTTATGTTCATGTTGGTCGAGCTCGTGACCGGCTGCTTAAACAGTGACTCTGGCTCGGTGCTCTTCTGCTTCGCCACAGGGTCTGCAGATCCTGTCTTTGTGGCGCTGCGCAGCACAGCGTTCTCGATCTTGAGCCGCGAGATCTCGTCGTGCAGCTTGCTTAAATATTTCATCGATATCACAACCTTGGCCTCTCCCTCCGTATACTCGCACGAGGTGTTCGCCGCTGCACACCGCTTGCACGGCGGGCCCTCGCCGTCGCACTTGATGTGCCGTTTGCGGCACCGTTCGCACGCGATATTCGACCGTTTGGGCCGCCCCGTCGAGTCTTCTGCAGCCATAAATTGTAGATAGGTAAATTTTTTATTATCTACACAGCCCTTAGATTCTACTGCAGAGCCGTCTGCTCCAGCTTCTGGGCCGTCTCGGCCACCTTGTCGTCGCTCTTCTCGCCTCCCTTAGCACCAGGGTACTTGGAGCCCCTGTCCTTCACCTTTTTCGTCTTTTTCTTCTCCTGAACCGGGGCAGGATAGCCCTTCTGCTGGGCCTCCTGGAACTCTGGCGACTCGTTGAAGTCCTTGATGATCGGGGCCAGCAGCTCGTTGATGGCGTCGGAAACGCCGGCCTTGAGGTCGACGGGACTCAGCTGCTCGTCCTTGAACGCCTGCTTGAGCTCCCCAAACGAGTTGTATGTGATATCTCCGCCGTATTTTTCTGGTCTCTGGACATGGAATCTAAATTTGTCTTTGCCATTTTTGAGCTCGTAAATCGGACCAAGAACGTACTCCACAAAGGACAGCAGGCCATTCTGCTCCACGTTGCCCGGGGCACAGAACGCGGCGCCGATCTTCTTCTTGACCACCTTCGGCTCGTCCAGAACATCGATCTTGGAGTTGGGGTCCGACGCAGACATCTTTCCGCCCTGGCCAAGACCAGGCACCATAGGGTTCATCAAATGCGCTCTTTTCTTGTAGCCCAGACTCGTCAGGTTCTCCTCAGCCAGCGTGAAGATTTTTCTCTGGTCCACACCTCCGAATTGGGCGTCGCAGCCCAAATACTCCTCGTCCAACGCCTGCATCAACGGGTATATCAGACCAGACAAGAGCGGGTTCTCAACCTGTTTGACCACCTCCGCACCGGCTCTCTTGGCGTCGTGTGTAGTCACAAAGTTCGACAGCTTGAATAGGTCCATTGTATACTCCGCCTTCAGCTGGTACTCTGAGCCAGTCACAAACTTGAGCTTTTCAATTGGCACATTAATGGATTTTAAAATACTCTTCACCACATACTGGTAGTACTTGGCTCTGTAGCTGACCACCTCCAAAGGAGCCTTCATGTTGTCCAGAAAAGCGTGTAGGTCGGCCAGCAGCACGGTAACCTCGCAGCCGGCCTTGAGGAAATGGGCCAACTTGGTCATGGGAACAAAGTAGCCGCAGTGAGGTTTTCCCGTGGGAGCGGTTCCCCAATAGACTTTCAGCGGCCGCTTTTCCTCTTCTAGCACATGCTTGATGATCTGCGGATTGAGCACCTCTTGGAGGTTTTTTGTAATCCACTCAAACTGCTCTTGAGGATCGGTCACAACTTCGGACATGAATAAATGCTTGAATTTTTCGACAACTTTTTTGGAATTATGTATCGCTCTCGCGAATTTTTATTTATGCGTCGATCGACCGCTTCAAGACAAATTCGTCTACAAACCATTTGTGGAACGCGTAGTCCGGCACCAGCTCGGGGTGGAATGACGTGCCCAGAATGTGACCTTGTCGAACAGCGACAATCAGCGTCTTGCCATCTTTTTCCACCTGTGATAGTACCTCCACAGGGTGATGATTGGCCTCGAATACTTCTGCCACCACAGAGCTTTTTGTGCCAACGGAAGGCTTTTCGCTCAAAATTCCAGACACAACCGGCGCCCTGATAAACACACATTCAAAAGACGTCACTCTGGATCCTTGAAAGCTAAGCAATTGGGTAAATGAGTCAACCTGACGTCCAAACGAGTTGCGCTCAATTGAGACGTCCAGACCGCCCAGAACCCTGAACTTGCAATCTCCAAGGTCAACCTTGGTGTTAGTAACCTGGTTAGCTATTAAAATCAAGCCGGCACAAGTTCCCCAGACACCAATCTTGCCTGATTGGATTAGTTGGGCTAAAGGTCCAAACAGCCCGCTGTGCTGCAGCAGCAGCGACATGGTAGTGGACTCGCCGCCAACCAAAATAATACCGCTAAGGCCGTCTAAATCGTTTGGCTGCTTGACTTTTCTTGCAGAAAACTGGTAGTGGCTATATTCCGGAGCAGAATTCATGTCTGAGAATAACACATTTAGATGGTCCAGATGCTCCCTAAAAGAGCCCTGGACGGATAGAACGCCGACAACTATGTGGGTCTTGGAGGCCGGTTGGGTCATTTGCGCAAGTGGGCGGGGGTTGTCGCTATTTATTGTGCTGCCCTCTCGCAAACCCGAATCTGGAAAATCGCGATATCGGAAACGTTCAAAATCCCCTCTCAAAGTAAATATGCACGCTGCAGTACATGTTCAAGATACGATTATAAAAGACCGGCTCTCTGGCCCTCTCCTCTCAATAAATGTCTCCATCAGATTTCCTAAAGAAGGCCGGTCTGGCACAAATGCTGAAACAGGGCGTTATCATGGACGTCACATCCGTCGAGGAAGCCTTAATTGCCGAGGAAGCAGGCGCGGTTGCAGTGATGGCTCTCGAAAGAGTGCCTTCCGATATCAGGAAAGAAGGTGGAGTTGCTCGTATGTCCGACCCTCATATGATCCGGTCCATCATGGATAATGTGTCGATTCCGGTCATGGCCAAAGTCAGAATCGGACACACAGTTGAGGCAGAGATGTTGGAAGCTCTGGGTGTCGATTTCATTGACGAGTCGGAAGTGCTCACTGTCGCGGACAGAAAGTACCACGTAAACAAAGACGACTTCAAGGTGCCTTTTGTTTGCGGAGCAAAAGACCTTGGCGAAGCTCTTAGATGCATTGTAGAGGGAGCAGCCATGATCAGGACCAAAGGTGAGGCCGGAACAGGGGACGTCAGCGAGGCGATTCACCACATTCGCAAGATCAGAAGCGAAATAGACGATGTGATGGCCAATTGCTCTGTTCTGCTAGACAATCCCAACGACAAGCCCGGTCTTGAGCAATTGAAGCGGTTTTCGGACAAGTTCAGAGTGAGTGAGGACATTGTTCTCGAGCTGGTCAAAAACGCAGGCAAGTTGCCCGTGGTGAACTTTGCCGCGGGCGGGATCGCGACTCCCGCCGATGCTGCCCTGTGCATGCGTCTCGGCTGCGATGGAGTGTTTGTTGGATCTGGAATTTTCAAGAGCTCCAACCCTGCCAAGCTGGCTAAGGCTATTGTCGAGGCTGTGCACTGGTACCTTGAGCCGGAGCAGATCCTCAAAGCGAGCTTCGATCTCGGCGAGCCGATGCGTGGCATCCAAGTGAGCGGGCTCAAAGAGGAGGAAAAGCTGTCTGTGAGAGGCTGGTAGATAAGTTCACTAATCTAAGTGTATTTTCTCAGGTTCTGGTCGAGCGATGCGGAAGCGTAGATGCTGCGTGGAGGAGCGCGGTCGACAAGCAACGTGCGCTCTATCGAGTTGTCGCTCGGCTTGCGCGAGGAGTAGGTGCTCGATTTGGAGACGTAGATGACCTGTCCGTGGGAGTCGAAGTCGGGCATAGTTGAATCATTGAGAGCCAGCTCTTGCGGGTACGGAATATCAAGCTTCTCTGCCAGGGCCCGGTTTTGTTTGGTCTGCGAGACGTTAATCACCTCGTTGAACGGATTTTCAGGGAAGCTGGGGAGAGAATCGGACGAGTTGTTGGTCGATTTGAACGGATCTTTGGCAAAACCCGGTTTCTGCAGCGAGTCCTTGGACAAGTTGTCGTACGCGTCTCTGAAGGGCAGAAACTCGTTAGTGAGAGATGCGGGCTTTTCAGCCAGGTCATTTGCCCTGTCCTTGTACTCCCGATAGTGGTTTCTCCGTAGCTCTTCCTCGTGTTTTTCGTACAGCTCGATCACGCTGTCGGCCACTAAGCGTCGACAGTACTTTCTAAACGTGGTTTTGTGTCTGGAGTGGACCTTGCTGACGACGAAGAACGAGCCAATGATCACGCAGATGTACTTCGCCGTGAAAATCACCCACACGATGAAGGAGAACGTCATGAACGATAGAAGCACGGCCTCGCGTTTGTTGGTCTGCGCAATAGCCACCACGACGTTGACAATCTCGCTCGACGTGAACGAGTTTGAGATCGAATAGGCCACCGTGGCGCCATTCAGAATCTGTCTCGGAGTATCTGCCAGAAGCCACAGGTAGATGGAAAAATAGTAGGAGCGGTATGTGGTGAGAGAGAACCAGTCGAAGAACGACTTGGTGGTGGATCTCTCGTAGATGCAAAAACGTTCGTAGGACTTTAAGGAGTTGATCTGGCGGGCGACGTCGTTCAGATGCGACCGCACAATGTTGTTGGTGCGATAGATGTGGATTCCGTACCACCAGTTGGCTATAAGCCATGTCATGGAGATGCCAATACACGCGGTGAAAATTATCCTATACGCCAGCAGAGGCACATAGCTGATGGCGTGGTAGCTGTCCCAGTCATTCAGAGCGTAAATCTGTACCAGAGTGTATATATCTGAGGCCAGGAACCCGAAACTCAGACAGATCTCGGTGAGCATGATCAGGTAGCTGACCAGAGTCCAAAAATTGAACACCCTGTAGTCGTGCTCCTCTGCCAGGTCCTCGAAGGTGATCTCCTCTGTCTTCACAGACCCGATCTTGAAAGAAGACATCTTAGAACACGCTTTTCGCAGAAACCTTTTATTTACTCCTTTTTTATAGCTTTGTCATTCTTGTTTGGGAATTGTCTCAAACGGCCGGCACTGCCAATCTAATATTTTCCGCGAACTAAAAATAAATCTAAATAATATCGTCAAACACGCGAACTGCCTCGCTGTCGGCCACCTCCACACATTTTGTAAGACACCTTTCCTGGTTTTCACGGTCGCCCATCAGCTCGTAGATGTGTGCCAGATCGTAGTAGATGTCGCTGATCTGGAAATACTTGTAGTTGGTTGTCAGCGACTCGAGATAGTTTTTGCATCTCGAAATGGCAGCCATGCGGTCCACGTCGCTGATAAACACCGAATTGTCGTTCGCAAAAAGAACAAGGTTCGAAAAACCCAAAATGGCCTCCACATTGCCGTCCTCCTTCAGGTCCAGCGACGCCTCCAGCTCCTGTAGAGCTCGCTTGTTGTTCAGCCCAATGTACAGCTGGCCCAGCCGAGCGTGTGTGAGATACGTCTCAGATTGCACGGCGACCGCCTCTGCCACGCTTCCCTCTGCGTCATCCACCATATCCTGTTTTTCAAAGAGTTTGGACGTCCACAGCCAAATATCGTGCACCATTTTGGTTTCCTGCGAGTTCAAACTGTTAGTTTCGCGCACGGTAGCCGCTTTTTTGCCTCTACCTGACTTGATTTTGCGGAGGATGTTTTTCTTACCGTTTTCAGCCAGCTTCTCGGAAACCTCCTGGGCGACGGCGGAGTCGCCCGGGCTGATCTCGGCCCCAAACAGATGATGCACAACCTCGAAAAACATAGGCATGCACTCAACCGCCTCGAACGTGTCCTGATCGGCCCCCACCAGCGTGATGTACGTCATGAACATCTGCAGAATGTCCCATTTGCGCGAGCTGCTCAATTCGGCAGGGTCCGTGTCGGCAAGTTGTGATTTCAAGTTGAGGATCACCTCAGAGCTGATTTTCAGCGCTTTATCTAAATTTTCCTCCGTAGCCGAATACACTAGAGTGATCATGTTGAGATACTTGATGTTATCCGGGTCGTTTTTAATTGCAATTTTGAGATTCTTGGTAGCATCTTTCAGTCTTCCCGTTTTGATAAGTGAGAAAGCGTAATCGAAATACCACCGGCCTATTTGTGTATCGTTGGCCTGGCCGGCTGGCAGACTCTGAACAAGCTGAACGGCTTGCTCAAAATATTTCAACGTGTTGCTGAGCCGCGAGTCCAGTATTTCACTCGTCACTGTGTTGGTGTGGCACAGCTGCTGCGAGATTTTACCGATATTGTACCAGTTTGAGGCCAGTTTGCGAGTCAGCAGCACAGTATATGGCCCCTCTCCTAGCATCTCCATAAGGTCCTTTTCCACCATATTTCGAAGGTCATTGTACCAGACGACCACCTGGTCGTATAAGTTGCGCTGCAGCTTGGTTGAGACGAGATATCCCAACACGCTGCTCGAAAGATCTATGGTTTCGAAAATGTCAATGTGGCTGCCAAAGTTCTGCACTCTCCGCTCATGGTTGTATCCCAAATACACTCGGTACGCTGGCACGAGCGTATCTGTGTCGCTTTTCTGTATAGATGCCAGACACCACAACTTCATCAGGGGTATGTTCTGGTAGGATTTGCGCAGACCCTGCTCGATGATGGTGTCCACGGGAAGGTCCTGGTGGTGGTATTGGAAAACGAAAATGACGGTATCTATCAGCAGGTCAATTTCGTGGTTCGACTCGGTGGCTTTGGGGAAACTTAGCTTGGACAGCCGACTCATGACGGTGTGTTCGAACGAAGACTTGACTTCGTCGGAGTCTCCCAGCACTCTGAAGGCGATCAAGTGCTGAACCATGGCACCAAATGTCGTCAACGTACTATCTCCCGCAAGTTTCGCAAAAACCGAGTCGAATTCCTGTTTGGTGGTCACCTTGGCAAACTTCTCCGCCGCCAGCCTGGCCAGAATCTTATGCAGACAGTCCCAGGCCACCAGATTAGTGCTACTTGGATACCTGTCCACGTGATTGATCCAGACACGGAAGTACTCGTCCAATTTTTCTGATACCAGCATCATCTGCAGAAAGGCCATGACATGGATCTCTTCGACGGAGCTCTCTTTGAACAGCTGTACAAAGCCTGCACTGTCGTCGTTTAGGAGCGACGACTCGGACACTCCCTGGCTCGATACCGCGCCGGCGATGCGGCGCGTCGCGTTGTATTGGTCTGTCTCAACCGTCATATAATATTGAAGGAAATAACAAACCTCTATTCAGGACTTCCATACACCAATTTATTTTTGCTGGGATAAAAAAAAAAGTAGCTTGATGTATCACAAGTGATGTGTCAGAGTGTCGCAGTATAAGACAGAAAGCTTTGGACACCATAAACATAAACAATTGGTAGTATGCCAGATTTCAACGACATTAACGAGAAAATCCGCGGAGGACGGCACACAAGCGACGAGAGTAACTTCCTGGCTTCAGGCAGGGACTTCTCGATGTTCTCTCGTCTCCCGTCCTCTGCCCCATCGTTCACGTACAGCAATCTGCCCAGTTTCCGCAACGCCAGCAGCCTTTATGAGCCACCGCAACTTTCGGCGAACTCCAACACGGGCAGTCTCCCTTTTGTTCCCCGGGAGTCCATGTTGAACGACAACTTTGTCCCGTCGTCGCGCATTCCCTCGTTTTCTCAGCGTTCGGCATTTGAGAGCAAAACGATCAATCCGCAGAAACTGGCCAACTCGGCCAAGCGTGACCACAGTGTACCGGAAACTGACATTATCGATTTCTTAAGGTGTTTGTTCATAATCTTGTACGAACTCGGCAAGAAAACCGCTCTTTGGGTGGTCTTCTTCCTCAGTATCGGCGGAAAACACCTGATTGGACTGATTGAACGAATCCCTACGCCAGAGACCGCTAAAAAAGTGGAAAACACCTCGATCAAGCGCGAGGTGGACGGAATAGTTGAATTGTTCAACAAGTTGGTTCCCAGTAGCGTTTCCACCCCGATGGAAGGATCTGAAGTTAAGCATGTGGACGATAGCATCGTTGTTAGCAAGAATAGCAAGATCGGTCAGCTGGCCAGCAAGCTGAACGAGTCCAAGGAGGAAGCTCCAGCGCGCGACTACGGAACATTTTTCTATAAGCCCAAGAACGTGCGATCAAATCCTAATATTGAGGCGATGTTTCTCAAATCAAACTTTGGCCGGCCAGAGACTTACAAAGAGCACAAGGAGCAAAAGCCGTACGACGCAGATTCTGAGTTAAAGAACAGAGCGTCTCAATTAACAAACTCGATCAAGAAAATGTTCCCGTTGGAGGAAGATCGGAAGCGCGACAGGAGAGCGTCTCGCTTCAGAGACCTGGAATGGCTGAAAAAGGATAACGTCGACTATGTGGAGAACCTGGAGTCCACAGAGCTCTTCAAGGAGTACCAGAAGATAATGCAAGAGCGTACCAAGATGCAGGAACTGATCAAGCTCACCAAGTCCAGAGACTATGCCAAAGTGACACCCTTGAGCGCCGACCAGCTGGCTACGGTGGAGAAGTTCTGGAGAAGCAGCAATCCGCAGCTCCTGGTGTGCAGTGCGTTCAACATCGACATATACACCAGAGACTTGAAGACACTGTGCGACAGGAAATGGCTCAACGATAACGTGATTGATTTTTATATGGGCCTGATCAACGAGCGCGCAAAAAGCCACCCCACGACATTACCGCAGATCCACATTTTCTCGACCCATTTCTACTCGAATTTATCTACCAGAGGATATAACTCGGTGCGGAGATGGACCAAGCGCGCCAAGGTCGACGTCACCAAGTTGGACTATATTTTTGTGCCAATAAATCTGAACCAATCGCACTGGGCGCTGGGCGTTATCAATAATAAGGAAAAAGCGTTCCAATACTATGATTCACTCTATGGAAGCGGCGACGATATATTGTACAACTTGGAGGACTATATGGTGAACGAGACAAGGAAGCTGTATGGAGACTCGATGAATGGCATCGACTATTCGCTATACGACCACTTTGACTCCATGAAAACGCCCAAGCAGGAAAACGGTTTCGACTGTGGAGTGTTCATGTGCACGGTTGTCGACTATGTCTCAAGAGAGCGCCCGCTGCTATTTTCGCAGTCGGACATGAAGAACTTGCGAAGACGGATGGCGTATGAGATATGTATGAAAAAGCTGATCGATCACTAGAGAGGCTGATAAATAGTGTAAATTAGTTGTCCACCTTGACATTTTTCAGCGTGTCCGCCAGTTGGTCGATCTCTTCCTCCTCCTTTGCCTCTTCCTCTCTTTCCACCTTTGCGATGGCCTCTGCCTCCGCTAGCACCCTCTTTTCCAGTTCCTCCTCGGTCGCTGGAATGTGCAGCTTGTTGTATTTAAGGGCCGTTCGTCCCTGCTCCACCAGCGCATTCAGCTCTTCTTCCCATCCCAGCAATTTAGCCAGCTGCTCGACAACCTTGTCGCAGCTCTCAAGCAGCAAGATGTCCGACTTGCGCGGGTTGGTCTTGAAATCGCCGCATTGTTCTCTGTTGATCAGCACTCTCGTGCAATCTCTGCTCACCTCGGCCGGAAGACCAGCAAACGGATACACCGCCAAGGAGGTGCCAGCAACGAGAGCCAGGTCCATCTTTGATGACGAGTCCTCTTCCCAGGTGTCGAAGAACTTTGGCGGCAGGGCCTCGCCAAAAAACACAATGTCCGGCTTCACATAGCCTTCACACTTGGCACACGTTGGAATCTTGCTCTTCATCTGCTCCTTGAGCTCCTCTGTTGCCATCTCGGCATCACAGTCGATGCAGTGGTTTTTGGCAAACGAGCCATGTGCCTCCACAATGAACTCGTCCTTCACTCCCGCCAGGCGCTCCAACGTGTCGATGTTCTGGGTGTAGCAACGCTTCAGCTTCTTCTTATCCTGACACAATCTGATGAAGTAGTGGAACTTGCTGGGAACAAACTTGCCCGGATACAGCTCCTCTGCCAGCGTGTAGAACGCCTTGGGGTTTTTGCGGAAATAGTCGATGTCAAACACCGCCTCCGGATAAGGCAGCTGGAGCCTCTTGAGATTCGAGTACAGTCCTGTCTTTGGCGAGCGGAAGTCAGGGATACCGCAGCTGGTGGAGATCCCGGCCCCAACAAAGAACGTCACCTTGACGTCGTCTTTCTTGAGAATGTCGGCTACTCTCTGGATCTTCTTTTCCATGGTTGTGAAACAAGATCTGGAACAGATTTATATATATTTGCTTATGTCAGAAACATTTATTTTCCATCAAGGCAAACTATGAAGCAGAGAGTCAGTGCATTTGATATTCGAGTCCTCGTCAAGGAGATAGAGCATGCCATCAAGGGCCATCGTCTCCAGAACGTGTACAACCTGGTGGCCAATCCGCGTTCTTTTCTTCTCAGGTTCAGCGTTCCTGACTCGAAGGCCAATGTGGTTATAGAGAGTGGCTTCAAGCTGTATCTGACCGAGTTTCAGCGCCCAACGGCTCCGGAACCCTCCAATTTTGTTGTCAAGCTCCGAAAACACCTAAAGTCGCGGCGACTCTCGAACATCAAGCAGGTCGGCAACGATAGAGTCGTGGTTTTGGAGTTTGGGGACGGTATGTACTACCTGGTTCTGGAATTTTTCAGCGCGGGAAACATCATTCTGCTAGATTCTGACCGCAGAATCCTGTCTCTGTTTAGACTCGTCGAGGAACACGAGAATAACGATAGATATGCCGTTGGTGTCACGTATGGCATGTTCAACCGCTCGCTTTTCGAGGAACAAGGCCGGTTGGAACCTCGTAATTACACTTCGGCCGAGATATATGACTGGGCCAAGTCTGCGTCCGAAAACACGTCCAAGGTTCCGTCGATTGCCAAGCTGGTGTTTCTGAACGCGGCGTATTTGTCGTCTGACTTGATCCAGATCCAGCTCTCCAAAAACGGGATAGATCCGGCCTCCAGCAGCGTCAAACTTGTGCAGGACGAGGAATTGCTTGCCCAAGTGACCGCTGCTGTCAATTTGTGTGAGCAGGAGTTCCACAGACTGACAAACATGCCCGCCGGCGAGCTTTCAGGCTACATCATCGGCAAACGTAATCCCTTTTTCAGGCCGGAAGAGGAGGCCTCGTACGACAACCTCGAGTATGTCTATGACGAGTTCCATCCGTTCGAGCCTGTGCATAAGAAAAAGGAGAATACGAGGGTTGAGGAAGTCAAGGGCTACAATCGAACGCTAGACAAGTTTTTTGGCACTCTCGAGTCGTCCAAAGCTGTTCTCAAACTTCAGCAGCAGCAGGCAAATGCTGCCAAACGGTTGCAAACCGTGAAGGACGAACACATGACGAAATTGCAGCGCCTAGAGGAGCAGCAAGCGATCAACTACAGGAAGGGCGAGCTGATCACGCTCCATAGTGAACAAATCGAGCAATGCAAACAAAGCGTCCAGGCTTTGCTGGATCAGCAGATGGACTGGACCAATATAGAGAAACTGGTGGCCATGGAACAGAAGAGACGAAATCCTATCGCCAACATGATCAAGCTGCCGCTCAACCTCGCAAAGAACGAGATAACTGTCCTTCTGCCGGACATCGAGGAAGAGAGCGATAGTGAGAGCGAGGAAAGGCAGGAAAGCGGGCCGGTTGCCGTTGCCATCGACTTGTCGTTGTCGGCGTACGCCAATGCCACGAGATATTTTGACGCCATGAGAGCGGCCCTAGACAAGCAGAATAAAACCAGAAACAGTGCCTCCATCGCCATAAAGAATACAGAAAGGACCATACAGCAAGATCTCAAGCGCATGCAGAAAAAATCACAGGAGCCAAGCGGCCTGAAGCAGATCCGCGCAAAGTTTTGGTTCGAGAAGTTCTGGTGGTTTATTACCAGCGACAATCATCTGTGCATTGCTGGGCGCGACGATACCCAAGTTGATCTTATTTATTACCGGTACTTTGATAAAAACAACGACGTTCTCGTTTCGAACGATCTGGACGGTCTGAAAGTCATCGTGAAAAATCCATTTAAAAACAAGGACATTCCGCCAAGCACGCTGCTCCAAGCAGGAATTTTCTCTCTGTCCGCCTCCAAAGCCTGGGACAATAAAATGGTGACCAGTCCGTGGATGGTGAAAGGAACGCAGGTGTCGAAAAAAGATTTTGACGGAAGCATTGTTCCGGCCGGAATGCTCAACATCCAAGGCGAGAAGACTTTTCTTCCGCCATGCCAGCTCGTTATGGGCTTTGGCCTATTGTGGCTCGGCGATGAAGACACCACTAGAAAATATCGCGATCTCGCGAAATCCAGAATCCAGGAGGTTGGGCTCGAGATTGCGCAGCAGGATGACAGTGTGGAGCTGAAAATCCAGGAGCTGACTTCCATGCTTGAGAAGCTAGGAAACGTGGAAGAGGAGGATGTTGAAGAAAAGGATGAAGAGCCGTCTGTTGCGGCAGAGACGGCTGAAACAGAGGAATCCGCTAACTCTGTAGACAACATGATTAAAACGAATGTCAGAGGAAAGAAAAGCAAACTGAAGAAGATCAAGCAGAAATACAAGGACCAGGACGAAGAGGAAAGACGTCTGAGGATGGAAGCTTTGGGAACGCTGAAGCAGAAGAAAGAACAGACTGAGAATCCGGAGACACAGCCCGAAAGCAGAGGCCTGGACAGAAAGACGCGCAAGAAACAGCAGGATATACGGCTTCTGAAGAAGCTGGTTGGAGAGCTTGAGGATTCTGCGGAGGAAACGGACACGACGCCGTACAACGAGATCATCTCGGGGCTGATTCCTGCTCCCAAAGAATCGGACAGCATTGTGAACTGTATTCTGGTGTTTGCACCTTACAGCGCATTGTCTAAGTACACATACAAAGTGAAAGCGCAGCCAGGTCCGCTGAAAAAAGGAAAGGCATTGTCTGAAGCCGTCAGAGCTCTGCAATTGCAAACTCAGACGCTACAGAAAGACAAAGCTCCTTGGGCGGACTCTAAAAACCTGATTGAGAACATTAATCAGCAGGACGCGCTGCTGACAATCACAGCATCGAGATTGAAGCTTGCCGGAGCTGCGGCCGACAAGGGGAAAAATCCGGTTAAGAAATCAAAGAAATAGTCAACTCAATTCATTACTCTAGAAACCTTGTTGTAAGCGGTCAGAAATGTTTTTTCTGGCAAAGTTGAAAGCGTTGAGCAGGCCCTTCTCGGAAAGATCAATCTTGATGTTGGCCACGTCCTCGGTAGGAGGCTTGGACACTCTGGATGCAATAACACTTGGATCCGTCTCCAGAACAATTCCGTCGTCCACAGTTTCATCAATCGCCAGGATCGTCATGTCGTAGTTTTCTTGTATGGATTTTTTGTCGATTTGGTTTCTCAGAATGATCTCCAGGGCCCCCACCAGTCCTTGCAGAACGTTGTACATCAAGGTCTCGTTCTGGTTCAGATCGCCAACCATATATATAATCACGTCTGCAAATTCCCTATACACTACCACCTTGTTCTCAAAGAGTATAATGTCGGAGTTTTGTTTGTATGTCTTGCCGAACAGGTTGCTTTCGAAACTGAACTGTTTTTTTTCGTTCGTGGCCAGCTCTTCTGTGGCCTGGCCGTGTGGTGGATGGTAGTACTTGGCAAAAAGGCGCTTGCCAGTATTATCCAGTAAAATAACGGCCTGTATAGAATATAGAGAAACGTCAAATGGCATGGCGACGTTAAATTATTTTTCCTAAGGACGTGTTCTTGTTACTGGAAAAATAAAAACCTCTGGGCTTTTGCCCTTTGCACCCCTCGCACCTGGGGATCCTTTATTTTGAAAGGGGGCCTAGCTTTTTCCTCCCTCTTGTTTAAATAATCTCACAAGGACAACTTTTGGAATATTTGGCATACCTGTGTGATAGCTAGAGTCCGCTAAGATTTCTTGAAATGTCTTACAACAGGCAACTGAAGTTGATCTCTGATGGGTCCTCCAGTGAGGAAGACGACGACGATCTGCTCAACTACACTTATGGGCGGGCCAGAGCGTATAGGTCTAACGCCTACAATTTGAGAGACGATACCGATGAGGAGAGAAGTACCGGAAACTGTAAGCATATACCCTTCAACTTGCGCCATGAAAACCAGATACTAACATGATTTCCTATAGCGCCAAATAAAAGACTACCGTCCACAGACTCTGCTTCGCCAATCTTGAATTCTCCGTTGAGTGAGAAAACTACCCAGCCTTTCAGTGCGTTCAAAACACCCTACCTAAACACTAGCAGATGGAACAACATTGATCGACTAGGTGATGTTTTTGGAGTCAAAAGCTTTGCTCAGGCCGAAAATCCTGGTGAGACCCTGGCAGAGAGAGGACTCACGGATCTCTACGAAAACTACTATGATCCCTACCCATCCTGGACCCCTGATAATGAGGTCCCTATTACGAAACAGCGCATTGAGTCCATCTTTATTCATTTATCTCGAATCTTTGGGTTTCAACACGACAATACCAAGAACATGTACGATTACTTGATGCGAATGCTAGATTCCAGAGCTGCAAGAATGGGACCTGCAACCGCACTCCGAACTTTACATGCTGACTATATTGGTGGATTAAACGCGAATTACAGAAAATGGTACTTTGGCTCACAGATGGATATCGATGACACCATAGGATTTGCAAATCAGAAATCCAAGAACATTAGCTATTCTTTGGATGACTCGCAACTGCGGTGGTCTCAAACAATGAACTCGTTTCTCCCGGAAGATTGTGTAATTCAATTGGCCCTTTATCTCCTTTGTTGGGGTGAAGCAAACAACATCAGATTCATGCCTGAATGTCTCTGTTTCATTTTCAAATGTTGTGCGGACATCTTCTATTCCTTGGAGTTCACAAAGGAGATACAGCCCATCACAAATAGTTTCTTGGACCATGCTATTACTCCATTATATAACTATTATCGTGATCAGTTATATGAGAAGATTGGAGATAAATGGATCTTGCGTGACAAAGATCACGCTAAAATCATAGGGTACGACGACATAAATCAACTTTTCTGGTACCGCAAAGGCCTGGAGAAAATAAAGCTGGATAGTAATGAGAAGCTCATGGATTTTCTGCCCTGTGAACGGTTCCTTTACTTGAATAGAGTTGTGTGGAAAAAGGCATTTCAGAAAACATATCAAGAACATAGAACTTGGGCTCACATTTTGGTCAACTTCAACAGAATCTGGAACATCCACATTGGTGTCTTCTGGTATTACACGTGCTTCAATTCTTACACTTTCTACACGGAAGACTACGACCCTTCCAAAGATAACCAGCCGAGTGTTTCAGCAACTTTGTCCGCATTGTCTTTGGCAGGATGTGCCGTCTCGTTCATAAATTTGATCTCCTTGTTAGGTGAAGCCATTTTCGTCCCAAGGAACTGGATAGGTGCACAATCGGTGTTTTGGAGATTCCTTCTAACTCTCACCTTTTTTGCGGTTAACCTGTGTCCATCACTCTACATCTTTCTTGGGTCAGATATGTCTGTTGATAATCCGATAACTTTGACTGTTTCCATCAGTCAGTTCCTTTTTTCCATCTTTATCGTCACATATCAATCTGTTGTACCCTTGTCTTCTTTGGTCGGCAATGTCAGATCTGAAAGACGGAGACATCATCTTCCCGCGAAATACTTCACCGACTCTTTCCATGAGCTTAAAGGTAAGAACTTATTAGCTTCATACGGGCTATGGGCTGGAGTCCTAATCTCCAAGTTTATTGAGTCATACTTCTTTTTAACCCTGAGCTTGAGGGATCCCGTTCGTGAACTAAGTGTGATGAAACTAAACAGATGTGTTGGCGAGCAATACTTCGGCTCAATTTTATGTGAAAGGCAAGCATCCATCATTCTCGTTTTAATGATCCTTACAGATCTGCTGTTGTTTTTCCTTGACACTTACCTCTGGTACATTGTCTGGAATGTTGCATTCTCTGTATGTCGCTCATTCTACTGCGGTGTATCAATATGGACCCCTTGGAGAAACATGTTCGTTCGGCTGCCAAAGCGCATCGCATCCAAGATTCTTTCACAACAGAGTATTTCTGCTAGCAATGTTTCCAAACGTAAAGCTATGGTTTGTCAAATATGGAACTCTATTGTGGTCTCAATGTACAGAGAGCATTTGCTGTCTATCGACCATCTTCAAAATCTCATTTATCAGCAAGCCACCACTGCGGATGGGCATGTTCTGTTGACTGAGCCAAGGTTCTTCATGGAGCAGGAAGACGGTGAGAGTCCACATAAGAAAGAAGAAGTTCTCGATCCAAACTCAGAGGCAAGCAGGAGACTTACTTTTTTCGCACATTCTCTTTCCACCCCTATTCCCAAGCCATTACCAATAGATCAGATGCCAACGTTTTCAGTTCTCATTCCTCATCACTCCGAGAAAATCACGTTGTCTTTACAAGAGATCATTAAAAAAGAAGATGAATACTCGAACGTTACTCTGTTGGAGTACTTGAAACAGCTTTATCCTCTTGAATGGTATAATTTTGTGAGAGACACTAAGCTGCTGGCCAAAGAATCAGAAGTTAACACAGGTAATGCGTCAGCTGAAGCGAATAACGATTTGGCTTTTTATTCAGTCGGTTTCAAAGCTGCTACCCCTGAATATATTCTACGAACTCGTGTTTGGGCCTCTTTGAGGTCTCAAACGCTGTATCGTACTGTATCTGGGTTCATGAATTATTCGCGGGCATTGAAGCTCTTGTATGCTGCTGAAAACTTAGACACGCCTACCGAAGAGCAGAAAATGGAAGAGGCAAGCGTAGTAGCACAACGAAAATTCAGAATTGTGGTGTCGCTGCAAAAATTGAAAGACTTTAATGCCGAACAAGACGAATGTAAAGAGTTTCTGTTGAGAACTTATCCCGAGCTTCAGATTGCCTATATTGATTACGATCTTGATCCTGAAACAAATGAAATGAATTATTATTCGACTTTGATCGACGGGAGCTGTGATATTCTTGAGAATGGAACAAGAAAGCCAAAATACCGAATTAAACTATCTGGAAACCCAATTCTTGGTGACGGAAAGTCGGATAACCAAAATCATTGCCTGATTTTCTGCAGAGGAGAATATATTCAACTAATCGATGCCAATCAGGACAACTATTTGGAAGAGTGCATCAAAATCAGAAGTATACTTGCTGAATTTGAGGAGCTTACTCCACCAGTCGATCCCTACCTCGAGCCTATCGAGAACATTAGTGGAAGCCTTTTGTTTCCAAAGAATCCTGTTGCAATCATTGGAACGAGAGAATATATTTTCTCAGAAAACATTGGAGTCCTCGGTGATGTGGCAGCAGGTAAAGAACAAACTTTTGGAACTCTGTTCGCTCGGACACTGGCTTATGTCGGAGGAAAGCTCCACTATGGGCACCCTGACTTTTTGAGCTCTATTTTCATGACAACCAGAGGCGGTGTCTCGAAGTCGCAAAAAGGTCTGCATCTGAACGAGGACATTTATGCGGGCATGAATGCTTTATTGCGAGGAGGAAGAATAAAACATTGTGAATATTTCCAGTGCGGAAAAGGAAGAGATCTTGGATTTGGATCAATTCTCAACTTTACAACTAAGATCGGAGCAGGAATGGGAGAACAAATGTTGTCACGTGAATATTTCTACCTGGGAACTCAACTGCCATTGGATAGGTTCCTTTCCTTCTATTATGCACATCCAGGCTTTCACTTGAACAACGTCTTTATTCTTCTTTCTTTGAAAATGTTCATGTTGTTCTGTATCAATCTGGCAGCATTGACAAATGACTCCATTATTTGTGAGTACGATAAGGATAGACCTATCACAGATTTGAGATTACCTGCAGGATGTGTCAGCCTTATTCCTGTCATCGCATGGGTGCAAAGATGTATCTTGTCGATCTTCATAGTCTTTTCCATTTCTTTTCTTCCACTATGTGTCCAAGAACTGACGGAGAGAGGAATATGGAAATGCTTCACCAGAATTTCACGCCATTTTGCGTCCATGTCCCCATTCTTTGAGGTCTTTGTGTGCCGAATCTATGCTCAGTCGCTTGTTAATGATCTTGCAATTGGTGGAGCAAAGTATATTGCCACGGGAAGAGGGTTTTCTACCATAAGAGTTTCATTCTCAGTTCTTTATAGCAGATTTTGCTTTGAGAGTCTTTATTTTGCCTCTACCATGTTCTTGATGCTACTTTATTGCTCATTGGTCATGTGGAACGTCGCACTGCTGTATTTCTGGTGTACGGCAATTGCGCTCTTCTTGTCGCCATTCCTTTTCAATCCAAACCAGTTCCAATTCACGGAGTTTTTTGTTGATTACAAGAATTTCCTGACGTGGCTAACCAGTGGTAATTCCTTCTATAAGAAAGACTCATGGGTTACACATGTCAGGAGTTCAAGAATGCAACTTACAGGTGCAAAAAGAAAAAAGTTGGGTAAAGGCAGCGATAATCTAGAATCTGATTTCAAGCGTCCATCTTTCTTAGCGGCATTGATAACTCAAGTGGGTTCTCGTCTGCTGGCTGCCATGATTGTAATCGTGGCTTACTTGTTTGCAAATTCACAAAATGAGGATATAAGTGGTCCTCCTTCGAACTCAATTCTAAGACTCGCTGTCATTACCTTAGGTCCAATTGTGATCAACATAGGAATTCTGTTGGCCTTGTTCCCTATTTCGACAATATTAGGGCCTTTGTTGAGCCACATGTTCAAGAAGTTCCCTGATTTCATAGCCAACATTGCTCATATCCTTGCATGTGTAAATCATTTCGCATTTTTTGAGTTCATGTTGCTGTGTCAAAATTGGGACATTTCCAAATCGATTTTGGGAATCTGTGCTTCATTCCTTTTGCAAAGCGTTATCTTTAAGCTTCTTACTATTGTGTTTTTGAGCCGCGAATTCAAACACGATAAGTCCAATCGGTCGTGGTGGTCTGGAAAATGGTTGACGTCTGGCCTAGGCTGCCATACATTAACCCAGCCTGGAAGAGAGTTCATTTGTAAGGTCATTGAGCTTTCAGTTTTCGCGTGCGATTTGGTCACCTCTCATTTCATTTTGGTGTGCTTGTTCCCATTCTTGTTCGTGCCATATATCGATAGCTGTCATTCTTACCTCCTGCTATGGTTGAAGCCTCGGAATCAGATTAGAAGACCTGTCTTTTCACCTGGAAAGCGCAGGGCTCGAACAAAAATCACGGTTGCATATTTTGTGCTTTTGATGTTGATTCTGGTGGTATTTGTGTTCCTAATTGCGTGCCCAATAATCTTGGCCAGAACATACGGAGTTGACTTCGACGACTATCTGCCAGAAATAATCGGCGTTCTTTTGCAGCCTGAGGAAACTATCAACAAAAGGAAAGGCTTGAAGAACTATTCATCTCCAAAGAAGCACAGCTAAATCTTTTCTGAGCATCCTATATTTCTGTTTATTCTAAACTAGGTCCAAATTGATCTTAAATCTTTAGCCGTTTTTGCCTTGAGCAAGTTGAATAGTGTGTCAACCTGTGATGTAGAAATGAACATTGACGCGATTGAAAATCTCGGAGTTTTCACAAAGGCTTCCAGATGTTTTATGATGTTTTCTAGAAATCGATCGTCTGATGATGCAAGGTAATTTGTTGCAGCTTCCACGTAAAACTCCAAGAAATTTGAGTCGAGTCCTGATCTCTCAAACAAGCCAGTATAGACCGAGCTGTCCATTTGAAGCACGTATTTATAATATTGTTCCCTCTCGCTAGGCTGTTTTTTCGAAAGCTCAGAAAGGAACAATGCAGTTGGAGAGCGAGGAAATCGTTCTAGCTCTGGCACTGGTGGGATATCAGACTCTTCCACTTTGAAGAATTTCTTTCTGGGCATGTACTTTGGGGGAAGCGAGTCTGCGAATTGTATCGGAATTTCTATTAGTTCTGCGTCCAGTTGTTTGATTTTATCTTCTAGGCTTTCCAAATCCTGTGTCAAAGTTTTATTATTTGGATCAAGCTGGATGGCTTTTTGCAAGGCATCTTTGGCTTCCGAAAACCTGTCTAATTCTTGCAGGGCTATTGACTTTCTCCACAATAGTTTGATTTTAGTCTTGTCATCAGGTTCGGTGGAAGAGAGCGCCTGGTTACAGGTAGCCAAAGTGCCGTGCCAGTCTTTTAATTTAATATAAGCCATTGCTTTGTTAGAATAAAGGACTGCATTTCCTGGGTCGAGCATAATGGCACTGTTATATATCCTGACGGATTCCTTGTAATTTCCAGCCTTGAATGCCTGATTCCCCTGGTTTTTCAATTCTTCTACGCTCATGATCTGGAATTAGTTTTTTTTATTTAAATTTATCCGATTTGATGATATCGCAGGAGCTGAAGGACGAACTTGATGCCTTGGAGGCCATTTTTCCCGGGTGCTATGACTTCATAAGCGAGCAAGTCTATCGTTTCCGAATACCCAAGTACGAATACATTAGCATTCGCATCAGGTTTCCCGAGAAGTATCCGGAGGAAATACCTCAAATTCTAAACGTCAAATGTGACAAACGGGGATTTGACGAGAAGCATGTGGCTCAACTTTTGCAGGAAGTGCTCGACTCTATCTTCAAACCTGGGGTTGTGTGTGTGTTTGACTTCTTTACTGAGTGTGATGCGATTTTATATTCCGGGGAGGACGAAGAACAGGAGGAGGCTGTAGACGCCAATGTGGAGATATCTACTTTTGAGCGTGATCCAGAACCGGAAGACGAATCCGAAGGTGTTGACGAATATGAGGTTGACTATACATACAATGAGGAGAAGGAACGAGCAAAGGCCAAAGCGAAGCAGCAAAGGCCACCAAAGACACTGGATCCTCTGGCTAATTGGTCCATTTCCGAAGCCATTAGCGATAGAAAATCGACCTTTGTTGGTTTTGCTCGTTCGGTAGATTCGGTTGAAAAAGCCATTGAGTACCTGGAACTGCTGAAGCAGGACCGTAAAGTGGCCAAAGCGAACCATAATATGACTGCCTGGCGAATCAAAGACCCAGAAACGGGAGCACAGTATCAGGATTGCGACGATGACGGAGAAACAGCAGCAGGTGGACGGCTTCTGCATCTTCTATCCATCATGGACGTCTGGAATGTGATGGTTGTAGTTTCAAGATGGTTTGGAGGTGTCCATATTGGCCCCGACAGATTCAAACATATTAATGCGTGTGCCAGAGACGCAATAGTGAAGGGCGGATTCGAGATAGCGGGCGCCAAAAAGAAGAAGAAAAAGAAGAAATAAACTGGCTTCTATTTCTTGCGCTTTTTCATTGGGAAATCGTCATCGTCTTGCTCTTTACGTTTCACAAAACTGCTGTTAGCTCGCAATGCTGTGAGTCCAATTTTGGGCTCTGTCTTTGGCTCTTCTGGCTCAACTTCTGCCTCTGCCGGCCCTGAAGCGTTGTTGCGCCTCCCAGACACTCTCATGAGATCCACCATTTGATAGACTTGTGTATATCCGACCCTGCGTATTTTATTTCTTCGCGCTTTACTTCTCTGGCGGATCATATCAGCAACTGGCAGCTTCCACTCGCTCAGATCCGTGAGTTTCGGAGTGCTTTGTAGTTTTTCCTGCTTGGCCTCCGTTTCGTCGGCCATTCGCATGAATTTCATGTTCTTTACCCGCGCAGACAAAGACATGATGGTTTTACTTGGATAATAATTTTTAGATTATTTTTCAGATTTTTTTTTAGTTTGGCAGTGCGCAAAAAAAATTTTAGAGCCACTAATCTAACTATACATATTCATCATGAAGTCTGATTTCAGATTCTCAAACCTTCTGGGAACTGTCTATCGACAAGGTAACATTATCTATAACGAAGAAGGTACAATGTTGCTTTCGCCGGTGGGGAATAGAGTTTCTGTGTTTGATTTGGTGAATAATAAATCTTTCACTCTAGATTACGAACATCGCAAGAACATCGCCTGCATTGCTCTGAATAAGCAGGGAACGCTATTGCTTTCTGTTGATGTGGATGGGAGAGCCATTCTTGTAAATTTTAAGGCCCGCACCGTTTTACACCACTTTAATTTCAAAGAGAAAGTCCACGATCTGCAATTTTCACCTAGTGGTACCCATTTCGCTCTGGCAGCCGGAAGATTCGTCCAGGTTTGGAAAACCCCAGACGTTGCTGAAGACCGTCAGTTTGCGCCCTTTGTTCGCCATAGAGTGTATGCAGGACACTACTCAGACATCACGTCCATTTCCTGGTCTGGCGATTCCAGATACATTTTGTCAACCAGTAAAGACTTAACAAGCAGGATTTTCTCATTACACAGCGAAGATCGGGACGTGAAAATGACTTTGGCAGGACACAGAGACCACGTTATTAAGGCGTTTTTCGACAAGGATCAGGAACTAATATACACTATATCCAAAGACGGAGCTCTTTTCAGATGGGAGTACACAGAAAGACCTGGAGAGGAGGAGCTGGCTGAAGATCAGAAACACATGAGCTGGAGAATTATCTCGAAGCACTTCTTCTTCTCGGACCACAACGTTAAATGTGCCACGTTCCATGCTCCATCCAACCTGCTCATTGTCGGCTTCTCCAACGGAGAGTTTCGCCTGTACGACCTGCCTAGTTTTACCATGCTCCAGCAGCTATCGATGGGATTCAATGCCGTCAACACTGTTGCTATTAATTCGACGGGAGAGTGGGTCGCTTTTGGGTCTAAGAAACTCGGACAGCTGCTTGTTTACGAATGGCAGTCAGAGTCGTATATTCTCAAACAACAGGGACATTTTGATGCAATGAACTGTCTTGCGTATTCTCCAGATGGCAGCCGAATTGTAACCGCCTCAGACGACGGAAAAATCAAGATTTGGGACGTTGTTTCTGGATTCTGTCTGGCCACCTTTGAGGAGCACACTTCTGCTGTGACCCAGGTTGTTTTTGCAAAGAAGGGCCAGGTGATGTTTTCCTCGTCTTTGGATGGTACAGTTAGAGCATGGGACTTGATTAGATATAGAAATTTCCGCGTGTTCACGTCCACCACCAGAAGGCAGTTCAGCTGTCTTGCGGTTGATCCGAGCGGAGAAATCGTTTGTGCGGGCTCGCTTGACGAGTTTAACATCCAGGTTTGGTCCGTGCAGACAGCACAGTTACTTGATCAACTGGCTGGCCACGAAGGCCCAGTGTCGTGTTTGAGCTTTGGCAGCGAGGGTTCCCCATTGCTTGCCAGTGCGTCGTGGGACAAAACGATCAGGATTTGGGACATATTCAGCAGAACCCAGACAAGTGAGCCTTTTGATGTGCTACACGAGTGTCTGTCGTTGGCCATGCGGCCAGATTCCAAGGAAGTCGCTGCCTCGACGCTTGACGGACAAATCACGTTCTGGGACGTGCAGCAGGGAAAGCAGGTGAGACAAATTGACGGAAAGAACCATATAGTAGCAGGCCGGTACGTGGAAGACCGCTTTGTTGCTGCCAATTCGGCAAGAGGCAAATATTTCTCCACTATCGCCTACAGTTTTGACGGACTGTCTATGGTTGCTGCCGGAAACAATAACTCGATATGTCTTTATGATCTTCCCAATGAAGTGCTTCTTAAGCGGTTCACAGTCTCGCAGAATATGCAATTAAACGGAACATTGCAGTTTTTGAACTCAAAGAACATGACTGACGGTGGGCCGCTTGAGCTCATAGACGACGACGGAGAACTGTCCGATTTGGAGGAGAGAAGACGTACCGATTTCTCGCTGCCAGGGTCCAATAGAGGAGATCCGTCGGCAAGAGCCTCGCGGCCCGAGATTCGAGTCACTAGCGTGCAATTTTCTCCAACGGCCAACGCGTTTGCCTGTGCCTCCACCGAAGGTCTTTTGATTTACAGCGTGGACGACAGTTTGGTGTTTGATCCGTTTGACTTGGACGTGGATGTGACCCCTGAAGCCACACTTGCAGTGTTGAAGGACGGGGAATATATGACTGCTCTGGTGATGGCATTCAGACTGAACGAGACTTATCTAATCCACAAGGTTTATGAAGCCATCAAGGTCGGTGACATTCCGCTCGTTGTGCGAGATCTGCCCTTGGTATATGTGGAGAAGTTGTTTTCGTTTATCGGCTCGATTTTGATGGAGAGCCAGCATATCGAGTTCAATCTGATGTGGATTGCTACCATTTTACGCGTGCATGGAAAATATATCACAAAGAACAGACAACAATTCGTGACCTCGATGCGTTTGGTTCAAAGATTCCTGAACAGAGTGGCCAAGGACGTGGTCAAGGCCGGCGTCAGATCCGAGCAATTCTACTCTTATCTTAGTTCAGACAAGAAAAAGCCCGCCACGCAGATCGATGGACATGAAGATGGCGGAGTTCTAGAGCGCACGTCTGACTTGGACTCGGACCAGGAATCGGACCAGGATGAGATGCATGATTCAGAAGACGACGGATGGTTTGGTCCCGGAGAGCAAAAAGAGCTGTCCCTACGATTTGACGGCTCAGATGATGAAGATATATAATTTCGGCATTATAGTTAACGGATTTCTCCGCGAAACTTTTTTTTTTTAAGCTTGCTTTGGTCTTCCGTTTTTTCCCAGTTTCAGAGCCCGGTCATACGGCCCCTTAACCATCAAGAGCCAAAATGACCCGACAAACAAGTCTCGCCGCTTTGTCGGAAATAATCGAACTGCAGAAGTCTCCCAAACCACTATCGGAATTAGAGCCCGAAATTAAGGAATGCTTATCCAAGTTCTCGTTCTTGCTGGTTCTGACCTCCAACGATGCCACAGAAAGACAAATGCTGTCCAATTCGCTTTCCATCTGGACGAAGATAAATGAAGCGATACAGGTGTATATGGAAAACACCGGCAAGGACCCGCAAACCACAAGAACTCCTCTGATCTGTTATCGCACAAGACTTATCAGGGGTGTAATTCTTCTTGCTAGGAACTTGATTGTCGGGCTGCGGAGCCTGCTTTTGTACAGCGATGCGGAGCGCGCAGATTTCTACTCCCGCATTGGGATCAGAAATAAGGATATTTCAGGGAATTTGCTTATACAGTCTCTCTACGTCAACCACAGCAACAACATCATACCACTGTGTTTAACGTTTCTGGATATCATCAAAGAGCTGGAAGAAAGCGGTTCACCTGAATTTGTTGACGTCTACTACAATGCAATGGTAGCCTGCTTTGAGTACCTCACCAACATCACCAACATCAGCACGGATCTCAAGAAAAATGTGACTCCGGACTACAATGCTGATACGCTATTGGAATTTCTGTCCGCACTGCCCACTTATTGGGATATATTTGCTCGACTGAATATTGTCGAAACTAACCTGCTGCTCTGTGTGTTTATTTATTTCAGGAACCTATTCAACGATGACGAGCTCCTTTCGAAAATTTTTCATCACCATCCGCGGGCCCTCGTAAATCTCGTGGGGACCTGCCTTCTGAAACTCATGCCTTCTGTTCGCAACAATGAGAAGTTTACCGAAGAGCAGCTCGAACAGCTGGAAATTGTGTCTCTTAGCATGTATGTGAACATGGTTTCACACGAAGGACTGGGGCCTTTCCTTATAAAGGCAGCCAGTTCTGGAAACGACGAGCAAGCAATTGTGGAGTTGCTTCGAACATTTCAGATTATTCTGACCAGCAAGGAAAATGGCTGGGACAAACTCAAGTTGGTGAACATCGTGGCTTGGCTTATGGACTATTTTAAATTTACCGCCCGAGAGGCTAGTGCGCTTCTTGAGAAGAAAGAACCAGATGACAACGAGAAGGCGAGATTGAGCCGGCTCCACTCGCAGACCATATCAGTGCTCGACAGTCTCTCGAGCCTTACGCAATACGACGAGGTGCGCCAGATGCTCAATCACTACCACTTTCTATCAGATTTGATACCTTTTTTCAGAGTAGTGGAACGAAACACATTCAAGAAAAAGCTCAAAGACGATCAGGCACCGCCTCATGCGAAGTACTTTCCTCAAGTCAAACTGATTATTGTGGAGATAATCACTGCGCTGGTGTATGAAAACTTCGAAAACCAGGAATTAATGCGCAATATTCATGGTTTGGAACTGATACTCAATAACTGCAATTTGGATGCTCACGAACCCTTCATCAAAGAGCGAGCCATTTTGTGCATTAAATATCTACTACAGGACAACCCTCGCAACCAGGAGTTTGTTGCCAAGTTGGAAGCCAAGGGGACTTCTATCGATCCGGAAAATGAGGCCATTTTGGAACAAGCTGGCTTCGAGGTCAATATCGAGGATGGTAAAGTCAAGCTGAAGAAGTCGACAAGACTCGCCGAGCTTGAACAATCTGCTTCTAGTTCGTAGTGCTGTAATAAACATTATGGCTGTGCGGCTTGGAATCTAAAATTTTCTAACTCATCTAATTTTTTCGCACCACAAAGAAATATATATATCATGGCTAAAACACACTCGTCAGGTGTCGACATTTCGGGCGTGATTGGCCAAGGTAGCTCGAAAATCAAAAAGAAAATTCGAGATATCACAAGACTTCTTAAGCGAGATAACTTGGCCTCGAATGTGCGACTTGAGAATGAAAGAGCTTTGGAAGCACTGAAATCAGAACTCGCTGCTGTGCAAGCAACCCTCAAAGCAAAAAAGCTTGCACAGAGATACCACAAGGTTCGCTTTTTTGAGCGTAAGAAAGCAGTCCGTAGGTACAAAAGGGCTCTCAAAGAGCTCAAGGAATTGGAAGCCAAAGATGGTGACCCTAAAGCTATTAAGAAAGAGATCAAAAAGCAAAAGAAGGTGGTGAGACATTGCGAAGTTGATTTGGCCTACGTTCTGAATTTCCCAAAAACAGAAAAATACATTGCATTGTACGCTTCAAATACAGATACATCAGGGCTGTCTGAAAAGGCGCTGAGAGGAATACAAAAAACGGAGGCCAAGAGAACTGAGTACCGCAAGAAATTTGGTGAGCTTTTGAACTCTGGGAAATTAGAGGTCTCTTTAGAAGATGGAATCAAAATAATCAATAAGGAAACCATTGATTGGACGTCCGAGCAGCCAGAGACTGCAACCGATCAGAAGCAAACCGCCCCAGAAGACGACTTTTTCGACTAATCACATGTATAATATCTATATATGCTTCAAAGATGCAGTATTTCGGCATCCAGATACTTAATTTGCGAGTGAAATCTTGGGTCCAGTTCGTCCTTGGCAACCAGTCCAAGTTGGATAAGGTCACCCATAACCATTCCCACTTTTTCCAATGAGTAGTGGAGATAGTCGAAGTTATCATCGTTGTCGTCACCAATTTCTTCAACAGCTGCCTCATCGTCCAAATCAATGTCTTCCTCGATGGTGACGCGGTACACCTCTCCATTTGGGCCCGTCTCGTACGCTTCCTTCAATAGCACTGACTTTTCGCCGGAAATAGAGCCTTTAGTGATTACTCCCCAAAGGGCCCAGAAGATGGAGTTGGTGGCTCTCCAGATAATTGTCTCATTGTATAATTCGACCACGCGGGAGGGAAGCTCGCTTTCCTTCAGGTTTACCACTGAAGATGACCGTTGGGTCAAAAATGCGGGTGTGGTAGAAGATCTGGATTGGCCTGGTTGAGGAGCAAGATTTGGGGTTGAAGATCCGGGAACATAATTGACGTAAGTGTTCAAAAAATTTATCCGTTCTTCTCGAGTCGGATACCTGTGAACCCTGAGCTTGTAGCTATCGATAGCGTGGTAGTTGGCCATCCATTCACAAAAATGATTGGTGATGTCGTATGCAGGCAAATTTGGTCCAGCGTACTCAAAATCAATAACGACAAGCTTTTTGTCGTCTTTGTAGTTTAAGTCTGTAACTAATGGGAGCGTTGTGTCTTCTGTAGAAAGTGATAGAGAGGATGTTTTTTGGGCCAATGTCTCGTCGAGCGCCATCGACTCAACGTCTGAGTCATCCTCATCAAAAGATGGCTGGTTATACTTATTGTAGAAGAGCAAATTACCGTACTGAGTGTCATTGTGGCAGAATTTCAGCTTCTCATCAACATTTATGCGTCCACCGTACTGGTGATAGAGCCAGTCTTGGTATCTGGCAACAATTTGCTTGAAGTGAGCCCAAGTGCACATGAACACCTTTTTTTGGTCGTCTTCGGTGGCACTAGCTTCCATCTCGTCCACTAAGTGAGCCCATTTGCTTATCAGGTTCCATACTTTGGGCCCTTGAAGTTTTTCGTCAGATTCTAAAGGAACGCCATAATGCAGTTCTTTCATTCTTCTGGCAATCATGCGGCTCACTTTCGGCTCTCTGATTTGCTCCTTGTTGAGTGTGATGGAATTGTTCAGGAATTCCTCAAACCTGCCGTTGGAAAAACATCCCAAAAGCTTGGGACCGATATTTCTTTGGGAAAGCCGCTGCAAAGTCAAAAGCTCGCTCTTTCTATCAATAATGTTGTCGACATTGGCACCATAAAGTCTTAAAAGAAGCGGATACAGGTTTTTGTAGGTCACCTTATAGACACAATTCGTCAGTGCACCGCTTATACGTTGCAGCTCGAGATTTTGAAGAGAAGCGCCAGTAAGAGGGATTTTGCGCCATTTTGGTATTCGGAGGTTCTGTATCACGGCAAGGACGTCCTGCTTAAAATAGTCAAGAGGAAGAGTGTTGTCGAGTGTGGCTTTACTTTCGTAGAATTCTGGCTCGAGATAGGGGTCGTCAGCGAATGAGAAATCTGCAGAGAGAGGTCGCACCCCGGAGTGAGACGAGGACGATCGCCTGCGTCTTGCCCTTCTTGAAATGGATCGTCTACGATGCACAGAATTAGATGAGAGTTTTCTTGAGTATCTGGGTCTCTCCATTTTAAGAAATCATCAAGTATTACCAGGATAATAAGTAAAGTCAGTAAATTTGCTAGGAAAATAATTGTGCACAAAAATCGTCGCGTCGGAAATACACTGTTCGTTACCTTTCGCACCGCCAAATATCTGATGTTGTTAATATGCCGAATTGGGCAAAACATCAATAACTTTCCGCTTAATTTGATTTAGTCTTATTTGCAATATTCTACTCTCTGCTCACTAAATTTGCTTATCGCTTGTTCTCTTCGTTTTATGGTTTTATACTCCAGCATTACCTTAGCAATTTAATGACACTATACTCAGACTTAGTCTTCCAGCATCAGCCACTCCAGACTGTTCGAGCTGTGGACAATAACAGACTCATAGTCACCATTCCCTTCAATTATATCCACTTCGTCAAACCGGCAAATGTACTGCATGAGTCCCTCGTTTCATCAGATTGGAGACTTATAGAGACAGATGCTGTTTCGGCCTTCCCTTTCTTGCAGGCCCTGCCTGCGGGCACCATGGTTTGCGATAACCTCGAGAGGATGAGGACTGTAGTCAACCACGCCAATGAAAGATACGCCGCCTCGGGAATAATGACAATTTTGAACGAATTCAGAGGATCTGAGAGGAAACTCACCGTCTCGATCATCGGTAGCTACGCTTCCCAAAGAGAAATGAACGAGATTCGGTTGCAGATTTTCCGCCATTATTTTGAGATCACCAAACGCAGAATTACTATCGACTTCACCAAAAACAATTACTGCTTCACATCAATTGGGAAAATCAAAGAGGAATTGACGCTGTTTCTTGACGAGGTGTCGCTCTATAACAAATGTTCGATCTATATTACACCTTCCAAGGAAAGCTCCTCCAAAGTCGACATAGTTATTTTGGGCAGCCAGGATTGTTCAACTGTAACTGAAAATAAGGTGAGACTGTTTATCGATAACTTGAACCCTCTGTCTCACTGCGATTACATAGAGATCGAATCTTTGTCGCTGCTACCGTTGATTGGTGGAACCGAATTCTCTAATTTCAAAAATATTGTCAAAAGAACTCACTGCCACATCTACCTGCCAAACCTGACCCCAGAGCTCTACTTCAATAATTCATTGGATACGGAATTACAGAAACCCACCATATATATCACAGGACTCAAATCATTGGTACTTTTAACCAAATACATGTTGTCAGACGTAATTCAGAAAATCAGCAAGACTCCCTTCATCAAACAGCTATCTGTGATGCCAATCAAGAGAGAAAGCATGATCCTCTTTATGGAAGACCCGGAGTTTCTGAAAAATATTATGTTCGAAACTGGCTGTTTCATCTCCATTCCGTCGCTTGGCTTCTCATATCCAGAAGGAACGGGTGATATCATTAGTTTCCAGGCCAATTCTATCGAGGATGTGGACAACGCAATTAACAAGTTTATGGGCTTCATTTCCAGCTTCTACAGTGCCAAGTACGAATTCAAGATGACGACCTCGACCACCGCAGATGTGAGCAAGCTATTGAGTTTCAACGACTCGTTATCTTTCATCACCAACTCCATTGTTTCCTTGGCCAAGATCAATGACGATTATGTCTTTCAGGTCGTTGGACGCTCTGAAGGGCTCAAACAAGCTGCCAACCCTCTAGCTCAATTCGCTCCCTACCTGGAAGCTGACCTCGTTAAGAGCACCACCACCTACCAAATAGAGCTTTCCAATAAAGAAAAAGACTTTATTGCCGGCAAGAAAAACGGAAAGATCATCAAGATCATGAATATGTCATCAGTGACTATCAAGCTTCTTCCGTTTACAGACTTCAATTTCATTGTGGAGATAACGTGCGCTGACTTAATGGATTCTATACTTGGCCTAGGGATGTTTGAAGACGAGCTTCCTTCCGTTTTGATTTTCAACGTCCCAGAGTCGTTCCACAGGCAGATCATTGGTGTTGGGGGCCAGACCGTTCAGACAATTATGAGAAAGTATAACGTGTTCATCAAGTTTTCCAACTCCTTCGAGCTGAACGAGAAGTCGGATTCCACCAGGTCGAATTCGTCCAACTTCCCTCAGTCTTTTGTCAGAAAGAAAAACGTTATCATCAAGTGTCCAGCCAAAAATAAGTCACAGATTCCTCTGGCCAAGATAGAGCTGGAGAAGCTCGTTGAAAAGGTAATGAATGTCAACTATTTTTGTTCCATTGTCAAACTAACCAGGCCACAATGGAGGCTATTGACATCGTCGCAGCTTAATTGCAACCTGAACGCGAACCGTGTCAAGCCAAGTAATTTTGTCACGGAACTGGAAAAAACGACCAACACCTTCATAAAGTACCCAAAGCTGGATCATGAAGAGGTCAATCAGGACACGGTTAATCTGGAGATATATGGGATAGATGACAATTCCAAAAATTGCTGCTCAGAGCTGATCAAGCTGCTTCCTTACGAATATGAGCTCAAACTCCTCAAGTCTGGAATATTCAAAGAACTTATGGATACAGTGAGCAACACCAAACGGATGCTGACTCACCATAGGAATCCTCTTCAGCTCGAGTTCTTGAACACAGTTATCGTTCCTCTGAAGCTTCTGTATAACGTCGAGCTGTTGTTCAAGAGCAACAGAACCACTGACTCAGTTATCCTCAACTTTTATCCCGACGCTTTTGGTGTCGACTGGCTAGCAAAGGAAAAGATGAACGATGAAATACAGCAGGAGATTAGTAAGTCTGAAAAGTTCAACCAGATGCTTGAGAACGTCAAAATATTCTTGAAAAATCAGAAGATGGAGATCACTTCGCAAAGTTTCAAGACATGTGAGTTTGATATTATTACTCCTGACCAGAAAATCGAGAAGGAAAACGTCAACTCAAAAAAGCTCTCCCAGCAAGGACCGGACATTAACGCATTTTCTTCTGTCTACACTAAAACAGGAGCGTCATTTCAGCAGCCAATGCACCCGCCATCCACGAAGCGTGCAACCTCCTCGGAAGCACAGCATCAAAAGGGAGGCTCCCGTTTCCAACAGACGATTAACACAATCGGTCCATTCAGCACACCTGATTTCAAGTTCACGCCAATGAGCAATACTTATTGAGTGTACACTTTCACTCCCACGGACTTTCTTCTATAAAACAACTTTTAGCCGCGAACTGAATTTGACGTTGATTGCGTATATAAGCCATCAATAATACCCTGAGTTTCACCTTAACAGATTACTCCTTGCTGGAGATATTGCGATGCAAGTAATTCAAGGCGTTGGCAAGAGCGGATCCATTTTTTTGCGCACCAGCCTCAGAGCCGTCTTGTTCTGGGTTCATTAGTAGTTTCATCCGGGAAGCATTATCGGTCTGCTCCCCGTTTGGTTTCGATTGCAGCTGTTTGACCCATTGCGAAGCGATATTGATTGCCGAATTCGGCGGATGAGCAATCGATTTTGGATCCTGTGGATTGGTGGGCGGCAGTCCATCGTGATCCAGGTGACTATACTCCAGAGACAGAAGCCCGCTGGTGGAATCGAAGGAATAATTCAAGCGTGATTGACAGGGATACAGCAGGATGTTTCTTGGCTGTGCGACATCGTACTTGGAGTTATCATTGGCCTGCGGCTCTCTTTCGTCTTGCTCTTGAGAGTTCTCGGGCACGTCGGTGTCGTCCACCAGGAGGGAGAAATCTTTACGTTTATTTCCGACGTCTTCGTGACATAACATTTGCGCATAGAACTTGTTATTTTTCCAGTTTGTGGATCTCGTCTTGAACGTGTACCCCAGGCTTTCCAAAATATCAAATAGCCGACTAAGATAATGCAATTTTAGCTTCTTTTTCACCTCTTCTCTGTAGTTTGTCACTTTTTGCTCAACACTGTCAACACTGGCATAGTCGGGTCGATTGCTTATAATCATGCTGGAGTCATATCTTTGGATAATGAACTCTGGAACCTCGCAGTTGTACTTGATCGAGATGACGTCCCTCCGCTTGTTATGCGACACTTTCTCCAGAAACGATGTGAAAGAGGGTCGCATTTCCACAGACTTAACAAGGCCCAAATCTTGTTCCACCTGGACTGTAGCCCCCATTACCGACTCGCGCTGCAGTTGGTCCATTGCGTTCAACTTGTGGAGCATTTTAAGCTTCTGGTTCTTTTTGTACACCTTGTTTTTGCGTCGGCACGCATCGCAGGTCTTATATTTCGTCAATGTGGCCGGATCTTCATCCGTGATATACACGCGTCGTTTCACCTTACACTTGGCACAATCCATATGTGTAGTGTTGTAGGCCGCCAACGACATGGGTGAATTATAAGGCATTGGTCAGCCGGTGGATCCCTAGACGATCAAAAAATAAATAAAATAAACTCGACTTTTTCCCCTTGGAATATTCAATGAGTTCCCTATTTCTTCCAAATCCTTGTCTGCTGGGAATCCTGCTGTCGATTTCCACACACGACGGGAACCAATTGGTATTTCATTATCCGCCGCAGCCCAATGAGTACGGTTATCGCCCGACACCGCTCGGAAACCAAGTTCTGAACACAGAAGACGACGACTACTCCAGCTCGTCGAATGACGAAATAGACGACGAACTGTTGGACATGAACTTTTACAGCATCCAGAACGGTGATGACGACTACAGCTTTTCTGCTGGGGGCAGCAGCCGTGGCAGTGTGGGCGCAGAGAGCAACGGCAGTGGTGTCAACGTGCTGGGTACCTCGACGAATTCGGGAGGCAAAAGTTTGCTGGGAATATTGGACGAACAAGACCGCAAACGAAAGGACAAGGAGCACAAGCGTCGCAATCTCATGAAAAACATTATCATGGGAGAGCAAGTTGGCCAAGCGGACACGTCAGGGAGCAACAGAAGCCCCAGTACTTCTCTTGCGAATGGGAGCGTCTCAGACCAGGAAACAGCAGTTTGCAAAGTTGATAAGCTATTTGGGTTTGACGTTGACTTTGTGAGCGAGCTTGTGACGCCGCCCAAGCAGCTCTGCAATTCGCGCTTCGAGGTCTCTGTGGAGGGTATGGCTTTTTTGGGGCTTCCAATTCATGTCAACGAAGACGGAAATTGGAGAGTCTCCAGCCACGCTAAATCGCGTAGGGACAAAACGAGTCGCAAAAAGAAGGTTTCGTCGAGCACGGAGTCGTCTGGCGAAGACGATGAACCTGACCATGGACAGAAACCGACCAAGAACGATTGCCAGATGTACATGTTCCATCTGGTATTTGTCATGAACCCACCAGTCATTGAGTACAATCACCGAATTGACGAGATGTTTCACTACATTGTGAGTCGGATGGCCCTTTTATTAAGGTACGAACAGCAAAAGTCCAATTACGTGTGGAACCAGTCGAAACTGATTCTCGATCTCAGGGAAGAGTTGTCGTCTTTGTCTTTGAACGAGCAGTGGAAGAAAATTACTGAAAAGTCATCCTTGGCACGAATGATGGCTCAGACGTTCAAAGCAGTCTCAAACTCGGAGATCATAAACATCGAAATTAACAACAAGATGCGGTCGTTCCAGATCCCCATCCGCACAGAATTCAGCTCTTTGCCACCCCAACATACACAGCTCCTGCCTGGGTCCACTCTCTCGTCTACCTCGCCCTTTAATTCTCTGGGGCTTGATTTGCACAGCAGTGCGCAAACCAATGACGAGAACATGGTACACTACGCCCTGATCATGCTCGATGATCCAGAATCGGTCATTAGAGATATTCAAGCCGAAAGACACTCCTTAATTGCTAACTTCATTCGCATGATCAAGCCAAGCGAAAGCTTGTCTAGGTTGGCTACCCTCAGCGGTCTGGATATCGCAGAAGTAAAGCTGTTTGCCAACCATTTGGTATACTGGAGAAGAGCCAAGGCCTTCTTGCCATTGAGCCCTAGAAACGTTTACATTGTATCCCCTCTGGCACCGCTGTCGGATGTTTACAAGGATTCAAACCTGTTCAAACAGCATTTTCCAAATCTGCCACCATTGGCCAACTTTCTGTCGCTGATCTCCTCGTCGTCCTCAAAACCAAGGCCAATTAACACCATCATCCCAAGCAAGGATCATAGAGACTTGTACTTGGACGCCGTTGCTTGGTTGCTGAGACATGGTTACATCACCCAGTTGCAGACATTCCTCTATTTGCGAATTACGAAGGAGGTGAAAATAAAGGTTGAGGAAGAGTTGGAGATGGAACGAAAAAACAAAAAGAACAAGCAAGACGGCGACGACTCGTCTTCTGAAGATGAAGATGACAGCAAGGTGGCTTCCACAGATAACACCACCAAAAAGAGAGAGCAGACATCGTTTCCGTACTCCATCTCGGGATCAGCAGGTTCTGATCTCAATCTCGAGTCTCCATCCCAATTACCAGGAACGGTCTATTTTGAGGAAGAAGAGGAGGAGGACACTATTCTTCTAGACCCGCAGAGTGCCACTGCTCAGGAACGTCGTTGGATAGCCAAGTGCGTTGAGGGCCAGCCACTAGAGGTGATCAACCTGTTCTACAAGCTGCTCAAGTACATGAACGGAAAGACGTCATTGGAGCTATTGATGGTGAAAGAGAACATAAGTCGTCAAGATGTACGCAAACTTCTGGTCGCTCTAGACAAGCATGTCACAACCGTGAGGCATTGGTGATGTATAATTCAATAGACGCGACGATCGACGTTTTGTTTTTTGGAATTCTTAAAATTGTGAGTGGGTATGTATTTATTTGTTTTGTTGATAGACGAAACGTTTGTGGAGATAGATATAATGTCTTCATAATAGTTTAGAACAAAGTACGGGACTACAAATTGCAACATAACTGTTAGACTGGTTCGTTGTATAACCAAGCAAATTATTCATCACATAATATACACATCATCAGATACCAAGATGGACAAAATAGATAGCCCGGAAGACCAGGAAGAGTTTCCTTTTGTTCCCAATAGCCAAGTGGACCAACAACAGCAATATCTCCGATATATGGACGAGCGACAAGAATATCGAAATCGCAAGATCAAGACGTCACATGGACAATACGTTAAAGTGATGGTTCTTTTTGCGATTCTACAGATCATCGGAATTGCATTTTTTACAAAAGGGTTCCTCTTATCCAGACAGGTCTTGCAGAATCAGGCGACATGTTTTGAGCAACAGGAGAGCGAAACCTGCCAACGATTTTCACCCTTCAAGAAAACCGTCGTTCTTCTTATCGACGCCCTACGATTTGACTTTGTGATACCTGTGGAAGGAGAACATGCCGATCCATACTATCACAACAATTTTCCAATCCTGCATGATTACTTTGTGAGGCATCCGCGTAACTCTCTTCTGCTCAAGTTCATTGCAGATCCCCCAACAACCACTTTGCAAAGGCTTAAAGGACTGACCACTGGCTCGTTGCCGACGTTTGTGGATGCGGGGTCCAACTTTGATGGAGACACTATAGATGAGGACAATTGGGTGGCTCAGCTACACAATCATGGCAAAAATGTCGCTTTCGTTGGCGACGACACTTGGACCGCTCTGTTTTCGCCTTTTCTTCACTCAAATATGACTTATCCATATCCATCTCTCAATGTTTGGGATCTTCACACCGTCGATAACGGTGTTATTGAACATCTGTTTCCAATGATGCAAAATAGAAGCCACGAATGGGATGTTCTTATTGGTCATTTCTTGGGAGTTGACCATTGCGGACATCGCTACGGACCTAGACATTATGCTATGAAACAAAAATTGAACCAGATGAACACTTTAATAGACCAAGTTATAAAAGCGCTAGATGATGACACGCTTCTTGTTGTGTTTGGGGACCACGGAATGGATTATACAGGAAACCATGGAGGTGAGTCTAAGGATGAGCTGGAAGCAGCCTTGTTCATGTACTCGAAGCGCAAATACTTTGGTCGACTGGCTGAGGACTACTACGATGTCACCGAATTGGGTAACAATTACAGAGCCGTCAATCAAATAGACCTGGTTCCCACATTATCTTTGCTGATGGGTCTTCCTATTCCGTATAACAATCTAGGTTCACCAATAGAGGAGGCTTTTATTGGGCCGGATGGGAAAGATCAGCATCAGCTAGCGAAAGTTAATTTTCTAACATGCCAACAAATACACAGATACAGACAACATTCTGATCAGCTGTCGTCTGACATATTCGTCAACTCGAAATTTGAGAAGCTTTCAGAACAATGGCACCACTTGCAACAAGGAAATAAAGACCAGCCAAGCCTTATAAAATTCAACCAGCAATGCTTTGAATATCAATCTCTTTCATTGGAGAAGTGTAAGTCCTTGTGGGCGACCTTTGACAATGTTTCTATTACCATTGGTATCATTCTTGTCACCGTTTCTCTTCTACTCTTGATTATTTACGCAAAGCTAGTTCCATTGGTGGTTATTACGCAGCTTAATCCACAATTTATTGCTACATCAGCGGCTATGACTCTAGTTCATTCATTGCTGGTCATTTCCTTCACCACAATATTCAAGCCTGAAAACCTTAATATAATGTGGTCCATTTTACTGGGAATTTCTCTTGGAATAATTAATGGGATTCTGGCGCCTATCATTGATCGGTACTCGGTCCCCTGGCTTTTAGCACAAGTGAGAGAAAACCTCATACAAAACGGGTGGACATATTTAGCGTTATCTGTGGTTTTCATGCACTCGCTTATCTTTACTTCCAACTCATTCGTGATCTGGGAAGACAAGATTGTGGCGTTCTGGCTCACCTCGTTCGGATTTTGTGCATTTTTCAAATCCTTCAAGCATAAAGATTCACACAAGCAGCTTCTTGGAGCCTACCATTCGGTTGTGTTCATTTTGCTCACTAGAATCACTTCAGGTATTAGGTTCTGTCGTGAAGAACAGGGCTCCAAGTGTTCAAGCAATTTTGAAGTGACTTGGTGGTCTGTTGGTCTCATCTACACTTTTGCCCTGTTGCTTCCGAAGATGATTGAGAAATTCTTCGATATCACACACTCGTTCCATGGTGCCGCTCCGCTCTGGATTTCCACTGGTTTGAAGAGCATGATGCTATTGATTGGCTCGATGTGGACCTTGGAATATATTGAAAACAGCGACTATTTCAATGCCCAATTTCAAATTCCGTTTGAGGCCTTCAAGGTAACAAGGCTCACGATCGCACGTATTGTGATGGGAATTTCACTAGTCGCTAGTAACTTTGGCTGGTTTTTGGGTCCTCTCTGCATCAAAATTGATTTGAAGTCGAACACAGACAATCAGCAAGTATTGAAGACCGCAAACATCATTGGATACGGTAACGTTTACGGGTCCGCCTACTTTTTATTCGTGATCAATATTCTGTGTGCAGTGTTGCTAGTCAACAAACCACTCGGGATTGCTTCGCTCGCGCTACTGGTGAACCAAATTTTGACGCTCTTGGAGCTGATCGACATACTCAACATCCGGACCAACCTCATCTCTGTCGTCGCTATGGGCCTGTTGGGATATCTGCATTTCTTCACCACAGGACACCAAGCAACTTTGCAAGCTATCCATTGGGACACAGGTTTCATTGTCACTGAATCGATTGTGTTCCCTTTCACTCATCTCTGTATTTTGATGGACACTCTAGGGCCATTCATTGTCGTCTGTTTATGCGTTGCGCTGATGTGTCTGTGGAAAATCCCCCCAACAAGCAAGGCGATCTCATTGATTTCTAAAATTGTCGAGAATTCATCGACTTTGCTCATTTATCAGACCTGCCTGACATTATCCACGCTTATCATGACAAACCATTTCAGAAGACATTTGATGGTATGGAAAATATTTGCCCCACGCTTCATGCTCAACGGCATCATATTAATCGCGATGAACATTATACTGTCACTAGTTACTGTGGGTTTCGCAACTGGCAGGGTCATAAAACGTTGGAACCAGGTTTTTGGCACCTAAAACGATTACTCAATCAATTTTATAGACTATAATACACTCATTCCAAGTTTCCATGGAAATTGTCGAGGAACACCTGGCCGTCAAGAGCTCCAAATGCACCATCGTCGTCAATAATTAAATCGTCCGAACCGGCGTACAATAGGTTATTGTCAAACTCGAAATTGCCGTTCTGGGCACCCGCGGCGAAGGGATCGTCGAAATGAGCTTCCGCCAGCATTTCCTGCTGTGCCGGGTTAGCATTGGGAACGGGCATTGCAGAAGTCTCCTCACTGCGTGTGTTCTGAGCTTCCAGCGCTCTGCGCTGCTCTTCCTCTTGACGCTGTTTGTGCATTAATTCCTCTTCTTGCCTCTTCTTTTCGGCAAGTTCTTGTTCTAGCCGTAGCTTGCGGTCCTCCGCCTCCTTTCTGCGCCTGAGGATCGATTCGCTTGCTTGACGGTATTCCTCCAAGGTGCACTTGCGCTGCTCAAAATCTAGCCGATATTTTCTGAACAATTCGTCATTCTGAATTTTCATGTTGAATTTGGCCTCAAGCTCGGCTGTTATACTATCCACCATACGTTCAAACTGGTCCAGCTTTGTCACGTCGTAGTCCTGGAAAGTATCAAATAATAGATTGATTTTCTCCGTTTCGTAAGCAAACCTCTCGTCAATGTTCTCATTGATGGTTTCCGACTCTAGTTGATCAATAAGTTTCCTCTGATGCTCCTGTTTCAGCTTCATGACCCTCAAGTTTCCGCAATGGCTGTCTGCAGCCGTGGGTTTTTCCAAACTCTGCTTAATCTCTTCTTCCGAAGACACGTTTTCGCCGTCAATGGGTTTGCCGTTTACGAGACACACGGGAAACGATGACGGAGGAACGATCTTAGTAAACGGCACAAACTTGCTCAGCACGTTCTCCAACAATTCGTTGTTCAGCTTGAACTTAAATGCTGCAGACTGTCGAAACGAGAAAACGTCCACCTCGTCGTTCAAAAGCTGTGATTCCACAGAATTGGGCGGAGGAATAGGGAGACTGTATATAGGGTGCGAAAATATGTTAACGGGAGGCGGCGGCTCGCGACGAGGCGGAGGGGGCTGTTCTTTATTATGTGACTGACGTGATGGAGGAGTAAGTCCCCGCTGTTCGTAAAACGCGTTTGGTGGTCTGCCCCTTTTTCGGTGCGGAGGCATAATTTTCTAAAGTATACGGCTTGTTTTCGAAAATTGTATGTGATATAAAATATATACATGTATAAAATTGATCGTCGCCGATCGTCGCAAATAGACGCACCCGTCTTTCACTCCTCGTCAACGTCGCTGAAATTCGTTGAGTGTGTTAGTTCGTACTTCGTCAGCTTCATTCTGCGTCTTCTGCTGATGAATCCTAAGGCGTTGGGAGGCTGCATAGAAGGAACAGACAGTTCACCCTCTGACTCACCATTATCGATCAAGTTGTCGTTACCTAGGTACAGGATCTTCATGATGTTGCCAAATGAAACGACAATCGACTTGTGCCCAAATTTCTGAACAGGACCTATGCGTCTGATCAGAAGTCCCGAGCTGGCCCCGCTCGGGATTTCGTAGTATTTCACCTCACCGGCAGCGGTCATGGTCCATCCTTCCCAGATATCGTGTAGTTTTTTTTCTGGAGTAGCACGCTTACTTTTGCGACTCCGCAGCTGCTCACCCTCTATGAGCCGTCTGTTTGAGCTGTAGCAAATACTGTCTTTCGTGTCGTCCTCGAGGTTGGATTTTCTGCGCACTCCAATGAGAAGATTCAGGTCTGTTGGACACCAGCCTTCCACGTTGCGCAGCCAGTGCTGGTGCTCTGTCACCGACGCAAAACCGAGACACCGAGTTTCGCGAGGGTCCCTCTCGACTCTCATACAGATGCTGTTTTTGGCCTTGTTGTCGATGGAGAAGGTGTGCACAATGAGTGTATCCGTATCCAGCTCTGTGTATGCTATGGAAAAGGAGCTGACGGAAGCACATCCACAGAATCGGCAATGCGACGGCTCTGCATGGAACACTTTGAAGGTGTTGGGCTTGAACTGGCCAATATTGACAGATTTCAGCATAGTGCCCGAGTTCACGTCAATTAGCTCTGCTGTCAGATCGCATGCTCTCACAAACATTCCAACAAACGGAACCGGCTCGATCACTGCCCCGGAGTAGTCCTTTTCTGGAGTGTCAGGAGGCTGCTCGATCTCAATCGCAGACTGGGACCCAATGGCCACATTCGCACGCAGTTTTTGCAACGACTCGAGGGACTTCTGGTTCATCGACGAGGTTCTGGAGATCATGGCCGGTGTAATTAGTCGCTTGCCCGAATTGTAGCTTTCTGTCTGTACCTTGACAGACCGCACTTTCCATTTGTTGTTGATCGCCGTGGCCACCACAAAAGATCCGTCGTCCAGCACTCCCACGATTCTGTCGTTAACTCTAGGTGTGGCTATTTTTCTGCAGCACACTAATTTCTGCTGGGTCAGATTCGTCCTGGTCATCGACCCGTCTGCGCAGTTAACAGTCACCATATCGCCGTTTTTCAGCACCATCACAAACTCCTCGTTTTTTTTCACATTGAAGCCACAATGCTTGCCCGGGTCAAATGTTGAGTCCACGGACGGCGACCGTCCATGACCAAGAAAAGCCGGGTTTAAAGACGTCCTTCCGCGAACTTTCGGACGCGCTGGCGGTGCAGAACTGTCATCGGAAGACGAGCTCTCATCCATGGGCACCTGTTTGGCCAGCTTTGATTTCCGCGTCACAGTCTTGGTTTTGGAGCGCGAGAGCTGCGAACTGGTTCGAGCTCTGAAAAAAGACTCCAGCGGAGTGTCGTTTATCAGCTCTGCGACCTGACAGGTCCATATCCATGACATGGTGAATCGCGACCAGCACTTCACAGCACCGGATTTGCTGAACACAGTAATTAAAGAGCCGGTGTTTGACATCACCACGTTGGTAACAGGCAGTAGAGTTCCGCTAAGAGGCAGCTGAGTAGGAGGGGGAAGAGGAACCGTCATTGGAGACCAGACAAGAATCTTGTGGTCCATTCCCACTGAAACTATGAAGGGACAGGGGGAGGTGGATATGCGCACCACGTCCAGAAAATGGCCGTTTACCAGTTCTTTGGAGTTGAAAGTGGTGTGCTGGTTTTCAGGAGCGGTCTCCAAGGTTCCCCCCAGCCCTGAAGACACGTCAATGCCGTCCTTGGCCAGAAAATATTTGAGAATGAGAGGCGCACTAGACATCACAAACGTCAAACAACTCAAAAACTCCAAAATGTAAAGCATGTCAAAATTGAAAATCACTCCCTGGTCGAAGCCGATAAGCCGCGGCTCCGCAAAAGGTTGCACAGCGTCTTTCGCAAGAACCACTGTGGGATCTAAAATGAAAACGGTAAACTGGTTTTTCTGAGTATTTGAATTTCTTGAGTGTAGCTCAAGTAGCTCTGCTGCCAGCACTTTTTTATCGGGAAAAAAATTCAAAGACATGCTTTGAAGAGCCTCCACTGAAGCGTTTGCAGGCGACTGCATAGACGTGAACGTTTGGGGAAAGTGGCAGTTCACGCCACACGTCCATTTGAATGTCAGTAAAAATACAACCAGGGCGACTGCAACACTTGAGCGCAAGGACTTAAATAGCGGAAGCTTCACCCTGTAGAGGTACTGTCTTGCAGTCGTCCAAAGCGACACCCCATGGTTTCGGTTGTTCTGAGGGCCAAGCAATGCTGAAGAGAAAATATAGCCAGAACCAAGCGGCCTCATTTGCATCTCCTGATCCGAAGAACCTTCGTGCTTATTTGACCTTTGCAAAAGATCTTGCAGCTCAAGTCGGCGTATGTCTATTCCCACAATTGTCGTAAAGTAGGTGATGTGCAACAAATGGTCAAACATCAGGGCCAGCAAAGTGAAAAGCACGTGCTTTCTGGCGAGCTCGCAGAGAAAGGGCAACGTCAAGACCAACAGAGCGCTGTCGACTAGGACTATTGTAGTGGACAACGGATGGCTGGAAAGCGCAGCTTTGCAAATGCGGGTGCTCACCGACATCTCGTCAGACGTCCGCGAGGTGGCGACCACTAGTCGAAAAGTATTTTCGATGCTCACCAGGAGCACGATTGACAGGGTGACCAAAAGCGGGAACTGGGAAAGGTCCAGAGTCCTGTAAAAATACGCTGACAAAGTTGCACTTGATAGTATGGATAAGGTGATCTGGACGATGTAGGCACAAAAGAGGCCGGTTCTCGACTTGATGGAGTGAATATTGGTTAGAGATATTATGGCATAGACAGCCACAAGCAAAGGAGCAGCGGCTACCAGAGCACTCTCCAGAAAATTACATCTTGTGTAGGTGAGCTCAAAGTGGGTTTTTCCAGCATTGTCTGCCTCGAAGATTTGGAACTTGTTATTTAGTCTGGCCGTCTGCAAATTTTGCTCCCAAATTTGCTCAAAATGGCGTGAGATCTGGGAGGGGTAAATAATGCACAACTGCAGCGAGTCAGCGCTTTTCACTATTCCGTCCACTTTGCTGACTCCTGAAAGGAGCCGAAATTGCGATAGAGGGACCTTCCAATTAGATTTTCGAGACTCCATCAGATGAATCGTTTTCAGCACGTTTTTGTCGCTGCGCAGCCACGTTTCGTTATTATGCCAGTATTCAAAAGGCGAATGGATGTGTATGGATCCATTCTCCAATGACATGTCTCCTGAGTCAAGGTCGTGCAGTAATTCTTGCTGTAAATGCAAGACATCAAGCAAAAATTCCTTATTTAGAGCTCGCTGAGACTTCCTCCTCGCGATATCTTCCATCACGCCAGGCAACGTGCTATTCTCGCATTCCAGGTTCGGCTGGATCCACACGCTTTTCATGTAGAAGTCAGGCTCGGCCAGCGGGCTGTCAGCGAGATGAATATCAACCGTCTTAACGTAACTGGTGTCGCTAAGAGATGTTGGAAAAACGCTCGATGTGGACGCATATAGCGAGTAGAGCGTCGGATAGCTCAGCACAAAGAGGATCGTGGTCGGCCAGAGAATAAATGCTGTTGGGTGCTCCAGCAAAAGTTGCAAAATTCTGCGGTGCTTGGATTGCAGCAGTTGGAGCCATGCCGTGATTCGGGCAGATACCGCACGGTCCCAGTTCTGTAAAAAATATGAGCTTGATTGCATTGTCACCAATCCCAAATTCCAGCGATGATGTGTACTAGTGGGCCATCAAAATCGCCAGTTCGCAGTGTTCTGGTGTCGGGATCAAATTAAATTGATAATAATAAGATCCCGAACTTTTTCTAGCATCCGGGAACATGCCACCACATCTTTACACGGGCCTTGTTTTTTCGCAATTAAATCAATGCTCTCGTAACTCGTTAATTCTATATGCAACACTCTACTCGACTCTTTTTCCGCAGTCGCCAGCCTTGCAAACTTTGATCTCTCGTACCCACTCGCTATTCAGTATCTGGGCACACGTGATCCTTCTCTGCGGGATGGGATCCAGCACAGAGTATATAACGTTCCTGCATCTCGCACGCTTGAGACCCTCTATAGGTTCGTAGCCTTTGGCGTCCTTCCGTTTCTGCAGATATGTGGTGAAGAACTCGTCCTCTACGTTGGCGAGCTTCCAAAGTTGCCGACCGGTGCGCATGGCCATGTATATCACACCGCACGCCCAGACATCTATGGGTCTCGGGTCAAACTCCTTCTGAGTGTACTCCTCGGGTGCAATATACGGCGAAGAACCGCAGATTCCGTGACTCAGTTGCACTTCGTCCTCCCACGCCATTTTGAAGCACTCGGCGTTACCGAAATCGGTGATTTTCAGCGTTCCTTCTGATGTCAGCAGTAGGTTTTCTGGTTTCAGATCCCGGTGAGCAACGCCCATCTTGTGCATGTAGTTGAGGCCCCTAACCAACTGTTTGAAGAAGCAATCTGCCTCTGTATATTCCAGCCTTCCTGCTGTCACAATCAGGGAGTACAGATCGCCTCCTGAACAGTACTCCATAACCTCACAATAATCGCTCTTTGCATCTTTCAACAGATCGATGGTAGATATGATGTTCAGGTGCTTCAACGACGACGATATACAGAACTCGCTCGTCAGTCGTTTGGAGTAGCGCTTGTCACTTTCGTTGGGACGTCTTCTGAATTCCTTGACAGCGTAGAGGATTTCTGTACTTCCGTCAGATCCATCCTTGGTCACCTTTTTGTGGGCCACACGCACCACTCCAAACGCACCACGACCAATGACTTCCTGGCACTCGCCGTATTTTTCCACAAACAGACGATTGTCCGCCGCTTCCGGTTTCATATTCACACTCATGGCAGTGCTAGGCTGCTGGATGGCGTTCTCAGGCCCAGAGAATTGGGTAATATCGCCTCGTTTCACCTGGTTCAAAAGACCAGACAGCAAAGTTGGAGGAAGATTCTTACTTGTTGCAGCGTCCACCCGGGCCTTGGCCTCGTTGTCGAGCGCAGCCAAATTCGTGGAGGACAAAATATTAGGAATGGCTGAAACGGCTGAATTTCTCAATTTCTTGGCTCCTAGCCAATCCTTCACCATCTGGCCCAGTTTTTCCTGTCTCTTGGTGTTTCGAAGATGATGCTCGTGCGTTCCGTCTTCACGCATCAGGAAACGAGCTACCTGTGGATTTTTGGACGCCATCGACCCAGACCGTGACAAAGAGGCAGCATCGCCCGAATTTAGGCTGATTGGGGCAATGTTTCCCGGACCTTGCAACGAGCTCTGGCCAGGGCTTCTGGCTTTGCGTGCGCCATTGCCTATATTGGAGCTTACCAAAGAGGACGTCGAATTTGAATGCAGCTTGGCCTCTTTGTAGTTCAAATCTGAAGTATTCTTCGCCTGCAACGTGGGGGATGAGGGACTAGAGCTCAGGGACGCGTTTGAGCTAGTAGCAGGTGAAGTTTTCTCTGTGCCTGATGCGTTCTTGTTATTGGAAATTCCTAGGATTTTGCCCAGCTTGATCATAGCTGAGTTGGGGTGTCTTTCTGTGGTTCCTGAGGCAGCCATAAAACGTACCTCTTTTGACTTCCGCAGTCTTCCCCCTTTCAATCGCTTGTTTGAAGACAATCAAACGCTTCACTCAACAGAGAATTAGGATACCTCGGTATCGCTAATGTATGACAAAAGGCACTAAGTTTAAGTTTGTTTTGGTGGCTTTTCGATTTTTTATATCTGAAGCAAATTTATATACACTTTTGGATGTTTTTGGAGCCAGACAAATTTTTTCAATCTGCAACCCTATCCGGTGCCAGGTGTGGATTAATAAGGGCCTTGTCAGGCGGCCGTATCGAGAGAGCAGATTTGCGCCAGCTTCTCGATATGCAGTTTGACAAGACATTGCTCGCGCGCAATCTGGCGCGCATTTCTGAGATACAGGTCAAATTTTAGCTTTCCAGAGTCGTGGAGCTTGTCCAGATTGTAGAATAAGTCTTCCAGGGCCTTCAGCTTTGTAACCAGCTCGTAGAGCTGGTTGAAGACCGGAGTCTCTGCTACCAGGTGCGAGTCAAACTTAGCCACGCTCTCGTCGTAGCTCTTTTCAAGACTATCATTCAGATGGGCCATTTCCTCTGTCTTGGTCTCTAACAGCTTGTCCTGTTTGGATATGGTTTCTGAAAGAAACGACAGGTAATTCCTGTCATTGATTGTTCTTTCTGTAAGCTTCAAGAGCTGATTCTGTAGCTGGATCAGCCTTTGAAGTGTTTCTGTATCGAATGTGTTTATAAGCTTGGATTTTTCGCCTTCGAGCGTGACTTTCAGGTTATTTATCACCTGGCTACGGTTTGGATTAGGTGGCAGCAACGGTGGTTTCGAGACCTCTGTGGGCTTATCTGCTGGCATACTCATGAGGTTGATCTTCTGTTTGGTCAGCCGAGGAGCCTCAACTGGTGTGGGAGAAGCGGGTTTCGGTGGAAGTTTTGGAATCGGAGGGGTACTGTTGGAGTTGCTAATAGGAGGGTACTTCTGTATTGTATCCAGGAAAATCTGCACCAATCTCAGTAGACGGTTGTTTTTCGGGGGTATTTCGTCGTTGGATACGTCCTGTCCAAAAATGCGCATCCAATCGCTCAAAAATGGATGGTAGAACCTGCCATTGGCGTCAAGGTAGTTGTTCGGCACCACCTGTCTTCCTGGTCCGGCCTTTATGTAAATCAGTGGGGCCATTCGTGGGTACTCATGGGGAATCCATATCTCAAAGGTGACCTCCTGCTCGTTTGTACCGTACACTTTGACCATCAATTCCTCTTTGCCCAAATCAATGACATGGACGTCTGTCTTGACTTTGAGGTATGGGAAACAGGTCAATATCAGCGAGATATCCTGGTATGCCAAAACTGGATTGCTGTACTCAGGCTGGAGTACACGAAAAAGCCATTCTAATAACTGTGGAGGCAATTTCGACATTCTCCTGATGCATGCGATTATCGATCTTGGAATTGTCTAAAAAATTGCTGCTCAAAAATTAAATACTCTAACTATTTCTGGTCCAGCCTCAAAACACACCATTTGGCCACAAACGCGAGGAATTCACTTGGAAGCTACCGCACAGAGGTGATTGCACGCATTTGATAGACGCTGTTACAGATTACGCTGGAAAAGAACAGAAAATGAGCGGGTAAGTGCGAACAGAACCATGTCGAGACCAAGACCCTAACTATTTAGATGGACCGTTGTGTGGACTTTAATTGTCACCGTTGCCGTGGGGGCAGTGTTCTGGAGATATGCACCTAAAGCAAACCAGACGTAAGTACCTATCTCTGCTGTTTTGCAAAAACTAACAATTTCCAGTGTTTGGAGAAGCACGGTGTCACTGTCGTTGGCTATGATGTTCCTCATGTGGGCAATCACATATCTATGTCAATTGCACCCGCTTGTGGAACCTAGAAGATCAGATTTACGGCCAGAATTTGCAGATTAGATACTTGCACCTGATCAAAAAATACGAGCTATATGCGTAGATGTAGAAACGACAATTCAGAGCCGCCAATCTGTCTGGCGGGCCTGGGTATATGCGTTTTCACGATCCCGTCCTCGAACTCAACAAAGTATCAAATCGCAGAGACGACGGCGGGCTTGATCTTCTCCATCACCAGAACCCATTATTCCATGGAGCAAGGGAATATGAGGCAGAAACAGGAGTGAGATCCTCTTTGTCCATCAAACAGCCCACCGGCTGCGCAACAGGCGAAGAAGACCAAATGAAAAATTTGTCACATTCTCCAAAATTTGTTTGTGCCATGTTTTATATGCTCTCTGCTTACGTGAGCCTCAAATCCATATATGGCAAAACAAAGACATATTCTTATCCTGTTCTTGCAATTAGCATGAAATAAAAGCTTCAATGGTATCTGTTCTCTATCCTTTCTGGCTCGTGTACGCGTTGGTCCAATTCGTGCTTGTGAGGCCAGTCGCAACGGCGGCCCAGATACTGTTCTACGGCATTGTGCAGGTTCCAGCAGGGATTTTTCAGTGGGTATTTGGAGTTGACATCACTCGGCTCGATTATGCGAAGTTGCGCTATGTGCTCGACATTGTCAGAATTCTGTACCAGTTTCTGAGTGTTGCAATTTTATTTGGATTGTTTGTGGGCACAGTCAACGGTTTGGCCTTGTGTTTGGTGCGCTACTTTTTGACCTTTAGACAGCCTGCTATCAGGCTCTTTGGCTCGTCAAAACCTGTTATCAAGCAAGAAGAAGAGGAATTCAAGCCACTGTTGAATACCGAGTGGGGTCTGGAACCAATCAAGACCGAGGATATTAATCCGTTGTCCGAACCAACCTCGTCTGCGCAACTCTTTGATCATTCCCAACATCAGATACGCGAGCGCCATCTTTCTGCATACTACGACGACGACGACGGGTACGGGACCGTTAGAGGAGAATCATCACCGAAACCTACACACCAATCGAGAATTTCATCGCGATTTTCATCCCTTCGAAGCGATTCGTTATTCAACACATCGCATCATCACTCGGAGTCGGGAACTGATACAACCGTTGATTCTGACCGGTCAGAACTAAACATAATCAAAGAAGAGGACTTGTCATAGTGATACGTCATATTCATCCGAAATGTATAAGTTGTCGTTTCCTGCAACCATCATTTAGTCGAAATGAGCGGTTCCGAATTTGAGCTCTCACCAGGTTGTCGCATCCTGGACAGATTGATACACTTTTCTAACTGCCATCCTTTGAGACTGGATGAAACTGAAGGCTTATGGGATCTTGAAAAAATAGTGAGCTACCAGTTTGGTCGTTTTCTGTCGACTCTGAGTTTTTTTGGAAGCAATAGAGCATTGATGTCTCCCTGGACCTTACAACTGTCTCTTAAAATTCAGCTTCAATTTACAGGGCCTGATACCTTTAGCTCGAAGTCGCGGAACATGGATGCCATCTACAGGTACAGAGTGACGATTCTGCTGAACTTCGCTGCGTTTCAATTAGTCAGTCTGTCTCAGTTTAACACATTAGTGTACGAGCACATTATCCAAGATGTGGATCTGGAAAAATTCAAAAAGTCGGCATACATCCACTTAAAATCGGTTTTGCAATCGCTATCGATCAGAGTAAAGGTTAGTCCTGTGTAATCCTGGGGCGCGACAGAAAATTTGTTGTGGTTTATCAAAGTTTGGTATTAAGACTTGCTATATCTGAATTGGGTTTATCTCGGCACTTTATCTCGGACTGGTGTGTTGCTGTTGGTATCAGTGGTTATGCAAACTCGCCATTATCAAAGACTGCTCTGTTCAATATCATGAATTCTGGCAGCTCTGTCTTTAAAATACTTATTATCTTTAATAATGAATATATTATCTATACTATGAGAATCAGCACAATTCCACAAAATACACAAACGTAGTCCCTCCAGCAAAAGCTCACTTCTTGAAATCGTGTCTCTTCTCGCTTGCGTGGTGTCCATCCTCCCCACTTCCCCTGGTGACGGCTACGCTATCGTCTTGTAGTGGCTGTGAAGGGTGGCACGTGTGGCTAGTGCATAAAAATTTTTCAAAAATTTAGAGTAGAAGAAAAATAAAACTCATTGAAGGTCTCTTCGCAGCAGTCATGTCTAAGGAAGAGTTTATGATCAAGCCGGAAAGCTCCACTCCGACAAACGACACCTCGAAGTGGCCACTCTTGCTCAAGAACTACGACAAGCTACTCGTCAGAAGCGGGCACTACACCCCTATTCCAGCAGGATCCTCGCCGCACAAAAGAGACCTCAAAAATTACATTTCTTCAGGTGTGATCAACCTGGACAAACCATCAAACCCATCTTCCCACGAGGTTGTGGCTTGGGTGAAGAGAATATTGAGAGTTGAAAAAACTGGTCACTCTGGTACTCTTGATCCTAAAGTCACTGGATGTTTAATCGTCTGTATTGACAGAGCCACCAGACTGGTTAAATCCCAACAGGGTGCCGGTAAGGAGTATGTGTGTATTGTGAGATTGCACGATGCCTTGGAGGACGAAAAGGAGATGGGAAGAGCGCTTGAGAGTTTGACGGGTGCTCTTTTCCAAAGGCCTCCATTAATTTCTGCCGTCAAGAGACAGCTGAGAGTGAGAACCATCTACGACTCCAAGCTGCTTGAATTTGACAACAAGCGTGGTCTCGGCGTTTTCTGGGCTTCCTGTGAAGCCGGTACTTATATGAGAACTCTGTGTGTGCATCTTGGTATGCTTCTTGGTGTTGGAGGTCACATGCAGGAGCTTAGAAGAGTTCGTTCTGGTGCGCTTTCTGAAAACGATAATCTTGTCACTTTGCACGATGTGATGGATGCCCAGTGGCTGTACGACAACTCCAGAGACGAGAGCTATTTGAGAAAAGTGATTTCTCCGCTGGAGACGTTACTTGTTGGCTACAAGAGAGTCGTAGTCAAAGATTCTGCCGTTAACTCTGTGTGTTACGGTGCCAAGCTCATGATACCTGGTCTGTTGAGATATGAAGAGGGCATTGAACTCTACGACGAGGTTGTGCTGATGACTACCAAGGGAGAGGCTATTGCCATTGGTATTGCCCAGATGACCACGGTGGATCTTGCCTCGTGCGACCACGGAGTTGTTGCCAAGGTGAAGAGATGTATTATGGAGAGAGACACTTACCCAAGAAGATGGGGGTTGGGACCGGTCGCTTTGAAGAAGAAGCAGATGAAGGCCGATGGAAAGTTAGACAAGTTTGGAAGGCCTAACGAGAACACGCCAGAGTCGTGGAAAAAAGAGTACGTGAGCCACGAAGACGTTCCTGCGCCAGCCATTCCTGAGGATAAATTGCAAGCTCCAGAAGTTCAAAAGTCGAAGGCCACTTTCCTAGACTCGCAGAAGGACGGCAAAGACGAGAAGGAAGAAAAGGAGGAGAAGAAGGAGAAGAAGGAAAAGAAGGAAAAGAAGGAGAAGAAAGAGAAGAAGGAGAAGAAGGAGAAGAAGCGTAAGGCCGAGGGCGAGGAGGGCGAGGAGAAGAAGAAGAAGAAGAAGAGTAAGAGCGATTAGACAGTCCCAATATAATAGTATTTTGCAATCGATTGTAAGCCAGGCTCAGATTCTTGAGATTGTGACGGAGGCCAGATTACCTAATCCCGCGAATTCTTAAATAGAGGCTTTTTTGTTGTACAGAAAAAGTGGTCAAAACAAGAAATAGTATATCTTTAGGCACCTGTGTTGAGTGCCATTGTCGTCTTATTCGGATTAGGTGGCATACACAAGCTTTAAACTGTTTAGTTGAGATTAGCCATGTCGTGGGAGGGTTTCAAAAAAGCTGTGACTAGAGCCGGAGCTTCGGTAAGTATGGCGCAGGATTGCCTTCGTGCTAACTCATTCAGGTGACTGTTCGGGCGGCTGACAAAATTATCGACAGAGACTATGATATGGAGGAGAGACGATTCAAGACATTGGAAAAGGCAGGAACTCAGCTTGCAAAGGAGACCAAGGGTTATCTTGACGCATTAAGAGCGGTGACGGCATCTCAGGTCGCCATGGCCGAAATCATCAACAACTTGTACGAGGACGCTAGAGCGCTAGGGGGAGCAAATGTGGGAGGATACTATTTGAGTGCTGTTCAGGAGTATGACCAGGAGACTGTGAAGCAGCTCGACGGGCCTTTCAGAGAAACGGTTCTGGATCCTATCAACAAGTTTGCCTCGTACTTCTCTGAAGTTAACGAAGCCATCAAAAAGAGAGCGCACAAGAAGGTCGATTATGAGCAGGCAAAGAGCAAGGTGAGAAGACTTATTGATAAGCCCGCCAAAGATGCTACGAAGTTGCCAAGAGCAGAGAGAGAATTGCAATTGGCCAAAGATATATTCGACGACCTGAATAACCAACTCAAGGAGGAATTGCCGCAGCTAGTTGATTTGAGAGTTCCATACTACGACCCTTCGTTTGAAGCCCTAGTGAAGATCCAACTCAGGTTCTGCACTGAGGGGTACGCCAGATTGGCGCAAGTGCAACAATACCTTGACCAGAGTAGCAGAGATGAATATGCCAACGGTCTTTTGGATGCTAAGATCGATCAATTGCTAGCAGAGATGAACAAGCTCAACATTTGCGCTCTGGGTGTGAAATAATAAATGATAGCTATCTAGTGATAAAAAAAAACTTGAGGCTGTGTAAAATATACTGATTACTCGCCTATTCTAGAATTTTCCATTTTTGGAGATCAGCTATATGGAAGTATTAAGACTCCGTCAAAGTGATTAATTGCTGATATAAATCAGGTTCCTATCCAGAAAAATTTCCCGTATATATCCAATCTTGCTTTTCACGTCAGTTGATTAGAATTAGACAAGATGGTTAAAGAAACAAAGCTCTACGATTTGCTAGGGGTGTCCCCTAATGCCAGCGATGCTGAACTTAAAAAGGCTTATAGGAAGATGGCACTGAAATACCACCCGGACAAGCCTGGTGGAAATGCAGAGAAGTTCAAAGAGATCTCAGAGGCGTACGAAATTCTGTCAGACGCAGACAAGAGAGAAGTTTACGATCAGTACGGATTGGAAGCTGCCCGTGGAAATGCCCCTGCAGGAGGCAATCCATTTGGCGGCGGGGCATCAGGCTTTAGCAGCAGCGGCGGTGGAGGCCGTACGTTCTCTCAAGCTGACGCATTCAACTTATTCAACCAATTCGGTGGCTTTGAAGAGATGTTTGGAGATTCAGGTGGCTTTAGAACTTCTAGAGGAAGCTCGCCATTTGGCTTCACCTCCATGGGTGGAGGAATGCCTGGAGGATTTGGAGGCATGGGAGGTGGCATGCCAGGAGGATTTACAAGTGCCCAGCCTAAAGAGCCTACCATTGTCGATCTGAACGTTCCTGTTCCATTGGAGTTATTGTACACAGGTGGATCCAAGAAAATGAAAATCAGACGCAAGGGCCCTTCTGGTCAACTAGAGGAGAAGATAATAGATATCAACATCAAGCCTGGCTGGAAGGCTGGCACGAAGATCACATACCCGAACGAGGGAGATTACCAAGACGGAATGAGACAAACAATAAGATTCACTATTGTCCAAAAACCACACGATACTTTCACCAGAGAAGACAATAATCTCAAGACCACAGTTAAACTTTCATTCAAAGAGTCATTGTTAGGATTCGACAAAGAGGTCACTACATTGGATGGCAGAAGAATTCCACTCACCAAGTCATCACCAACGCAACCTGGATCCGTCAGCACCTATCCAGGACTGGGAATGCCAATTTCCAAGTCTCCAGGCTCTAGAGGAGATTTGATCATAGAATTTAAGGTGGACTACCCAGTCTTCCTCACACAACAACAGAAACAGGCAATAAGTGCAAACTTCTAACTTTGATTATGGACTCGAGGCATAGTAGGTCCGATACGATTGCTCAGTAATGTATTATAGATTGGCATTAATGATACTAATGTTCTTGGGAAGCGCCGCGCGTCGATCGTCCTTTTTGGCATTTAATTTATTTCGTCTCGTAATTCGATCGCAATCTTTACCTTAAATGTCCGTCATCCTTGCTTCGGCGGGCTACGACCACACCATCAGATTTTGGGAAGCACTTACTGGAGTCTGTTCCAGAACTATACAGCATGGCGATTCCCAGGTCAACAGGCTGGAAATCACGTCTGACAAAAAATTCCTCGCTGCTGCTGGCAAGTCCAAAGTCCGTTTGTACGATATCCGTTCCTCCAACCCAAACCCAGTTACCTCTTTTGATGGCCACACAAACAACGTGACGTCCATTGCGTTTCAAATCGAAAACAAATGGATGTGCTCATCCAGCGAAGACGGGACTGTCAAGGTCTGGGATGTACGGTCTCCCAGCGTCCAACGAAATTACAAACATAACTGTCCCGTTAATGAGGTTGTGATACACCCAAACCAGGGAGAACTCATCAGCTGTGACCAGAATGGAAATGTGCGGGTCTGGGACCTGGGCGAGAACAAATGCACTCACCAGCTTATTCCGGAGGACGACGTGTCGATTCAGTCCATCAGCTGTGCATCAGATGGGTCAATGCTGGTGGCAGGTAATAACAAGGGAAATTGCTATGTGTGGGAGATGAAAAGTAACGAAGATCAAACACTGCTTAGACCAGTCAACAAGTTCAAGTCGCATTCAAAATATATCACTAGAGTTTTAATATCGTCCGACTGCAAGCATCTAGCAACGTGTTCAGCGGACCACACTACTCGCATATGGTCTACAGAGAATTTCTCGCTCGAAACGACGCTCAGAGGCCATCAGAGATGGGTCTGGGACTGTGCGTTCAGTGCCGACAGTGCATATTTGGTGACTGCATGTTCAGACCACTACGTGAGACTATGGGATCTGAGCACCAGTGAGACTGTCAGACAGTACAATGGTCACAACAAGGGTGTGATATGTGTGGCACTGAACGATGTGTAATGTTAAAAAAAAAAAGGATGCAATATTAAATTAATTGCGTAAAAAAATCGACAACAGCAGGACTCGAACCTGCGCGCGAAAATCGCAAAAGATTTCTAATCTTTCTCCTTAACCGCTCGGACATGTTGCCTGATTCGAGGTTTTTAGTCTTGTAGAATGATATATCGAGCAGATAGGAACAAATACTATTCATTAACGGTGTATATAGCTATTCTCCCATCCTTGAAGCCAATGAACAGGTAACTGTTCATCAGGTTCATCTCATCCCTCCTGCGAACAATATTCTTTCCCATTCCGTTCGTATGAATCAAAGCTGAGCGGGAGAACGCTTGACTATGACTAAAAGCAAGAACAGAGACTCGTTGCTGCAAATGCCCCACATTCTCGGCAATATCGACCGTACTGTTTGTGGCGGCTATCGACGGTACCGTTTTATGGAGCTTGAACTGGAATTTCAGAACAGCTTCATCGTCATAAGTGTAAAATCTCGAATAGCCATCCCATGTCACCATTCCGACTAGATTTCCCATTGTCTTTACGTCCGCAACACCCTTGTGCTTGAGTTTAAAGACCGTGTGTTGGTCTTGATATTGAATCACAACTTTGTCGGCTGATGATGTGCTTATGAGTCTGTGGTTGTTGTGGTCATAATAAAGAGCCAGTATCGGGTTCGGATAGTGTTGAGAGTCGCAGTCGAGGATGCCGACTTTATCGTCCTTCAGTGCAAAAGTGATCACATGGCCGCTCTCAAAACCGACTGCAAAGGTTTCATTGTCCAGCCAGACCAGTTTCATGACAATGCCCAACCCCCTGCTTGCATTCTCAGGAGAACCGTGAAGATTGAGGTCTATAAGGTTATTCTCGGCTAGTTCCAGCGGATCTATGGCCCTGAAGAGTCTTTTCAGATCGTTCTTCTCAACATCTATGCGATAAATGTCCAATTTAGCAGAGTCCTGAGTCGCCGGGGAAAGTAGAATGCCGTTCCGGATATCCACATTTGAAAAATTCATCACATTTATAGGCATCTGAAATGCCACCGGAGGAGAGGGCCAATGAGCAGCGCTTTCACCTTCTGTGTGTATTCTCCGGCTCAATACACTCGACGGTTTGAATACATGGGGCGCATCTTTGGAAAAATCAAAAATATCCCATACTTTCAGCTCTCCGTCCTTGCCATGTGAAAGTAGTTTTCCAAACCAGCTGTAATCTAACACGTGTGAGCCTTGATCCCAAGAAAGCCCCAGTTGCTTGATAGTGAGAACGTTACCATTGTGGGCTTTCCAAACGCCAAGCGGTCTTCGTGACGTCAGGTCCCACCAGTATATCCAGCCTGACTCGTCGCTGCTCATGAGCGTAGGAGTCATGAGCTGTATTTCGCGGTCTCCCGAGAGTACTGCCAAAGAGGAGGGCACGTAAAATACCTGCAGTGCGGAAATTGCGTCCTTGTGGCCCCGCAGGGTGCCGTTTAGATTGGTTACTCGTCCGGTGGAGGTGAGTTTTAACATTATGAAAATATATGCACAGCCAAAGTTTTTATTAAAGTGGTCAGCTCACGCTGTAGTAGAACCCCAGGCCAATCCCAATCGCGCAACCGGCCAACGCCAACAGCGCCAACATCCCACTGGCTATCTTATACTCCAGCGGCACTCGGCCGAAAGTTTTGTCCAAATAGCCGACGCAGATGAGCAGCCAGAATGGTGGCACGAAAAACGAAGCGAGAACGAAAAATAAGGCCGTATTGCTTGGGCAGTTATGGCCGATTCGGGCCCTATGGTAGTAAAATTTCTCAAGGTCTCCCAGCTCGTGCCATTCCTCGAGTTGGAACGTGCTTGAGTCGGACGAGAAGGACTCTGATTTAAGAAGATTCTTCTGCGACTCCCCAGAGCTAAAATTTCTCTTTGCCTCGTGATCTTTCAGATACACCTTTTTCGGCGTAATGGGGCCGTATTTTCTGGCGTTGTACAGCACCGATTCCTCCTTGGTCAGCAAATAGTGCTGGGTGCCAGGAGCGAATTTTCTGAACTGGTACAAGGAGTCTTTCAGATAAGGAAGGTCAACAGCCTGGGACGGCTGCTGGTTTTCTGTCGGGTGCTTTTCGGCCATGCCGCTGGCCTCATCCCCCGCGTCGCTGTCCTCGTTGCTTGGATAGTCGTCTGTGTATATCGTGAAATTGTCCTGCGACGAACCGACCAGCTCAATAACCGAACTCTGAGTGCGGAAACTACTGCTGTGCGACAAACTGGGTATTTCCTCCGTAAAGTACCCGTGCTCTCGCTGGGACGCGCGTATACGGTCTTCTTCTTCGCGGCGTGCGATCGTTGTGCTGTTTCTGGTGAGATTTTGCGAGTCGTCGCTCGTCAACAAACTGGAGATCTCCCCTGTGCAGTCGATTGTACTTTCAAACTCATCGTTCTGCAGAGGGTTGTAATTTTCCTGCTGCTCTGAGTTTGCTTTTGTAGGACTCAGAACTTTGAACAAACCGCGATCTCGCTTCTTAATAGGGCTCAGATTTAAAAGTAGGTTCCGCTTAATTGGCGTTTCTGAGTTCAGCTGATTGACATGGAAAAGGTTTCGGAGCCGAGACCCAGAAGTTGCTGGTGATACAGGCCCAGTCCTGCGGAGGGGCGTTTCGTAGGCGGCAGACTCCATGGTGCAAGTGCTGGTGGAATTTTCAATTTATTTACAACATGCTCCATTTGGCAAACTCACAACAAGTACGATTACGTAATACAATGGGAGCCAGGAGCGGCGGATCCGTGTGGTGCTGGAAGGAGAGCTCAACTGTGTCTGCCACAGCTTGAATAATGGTTTTCTCAAGACACAGGGCTGTTTGGTGGCGTGCCCCTCTTGACGTTCAAAAAGATGTGCTGAATTATTGATGCAAAATATGCAAAATATTAAAATTGCCTTTTTTATGGACCTGCAGTACTCATCGGACTCGGAGAGCGATACTCAGGAAGCCCTAAAACCACCAGAGCGTCTTCTCTTCAAGTACTCGGAAACTCCTGTTTTTAGACGCAAGGAGACGTCCACTAAGAGGACGTCGCACCTATATCTGCACATACCCTTGTCGGATGAACAGTACGCGCTTCTGCATTCGCTGGCTCAAAAGTTCTGGAACGAGCTGAGCCAACGGTGTGTGCTCCACGAATCGGCCACTTTACAGGAAACCCTGTTTGACGAGCTCACAAACACCCCCAAAAGTCTCCACATTTCTCTGTCATACAACCTGACTTTCGAAGACGATCAAAAACTGAGAGAGTTTATTGCCCTGGTGGAGGAAAACCTGCCCTTGAGGACTCCTTTGATGGTTGGATTCTCCGGTGAAGTTAGACTGCTTCCTAGTTTAGACAAATCCAAGCAGTTTGTTGCCCTGATTGTGGATCAGGATACACGCAATAAGCTCAGGAGCACGGTGGAACTGATAAATCACCACGTTCCGGGCAACAGAGACGGCGACAACAACATCCGATACGACCCAGACCTTCTCCACTGTACTATCGGTGAGATACCTCAGAAAGACCTGCAGTTCAGCGCCCATCTACAGCCAGTCAGGCTCGCTGCTGCCAGCGTAATGGCCTCGCAGGGAAGGCGGAAAACACCCTTGCACCAGAAGGGAGCACGGGGCGAGAAAAAACCAACGCAACAAGCCACATAATTTTTCGCAATTGCTTATCGAAACGCCGGAGGCAAAGAGTTTGTGAGCCCCAATGTCGAACCTATCTCCAAACGACCCGCTGTACGAACCGCCACAGACGGAGGAGACGGCGAAACTGACGCCGCAGGAGCAGAAATTGTACAAATTGTACGGCCGTTTGCCCAAGAAGTCGGAGGTGCTGCAAAGTAAGATAAAGGACAGGAAATTTTTCGACAGCGGAGACTATGCCATGTCGAAAGCTACGGGACACAAAGAGCAGGTTGGGTCAATAAACCCGCTAAAATTGCCAAATATTGAGAATGTCGCGAGAATCAATAGGAACTCAATTTCCGGGGTGAGTGCGACAGGGCTTCTGAGCGCCAACCAGCACAAGTCCAATCTGGAGAATGAGCGGAAAGACGTGTCTGAGGAGGCGGTGGAGGATGATTAGCTGAAGAAGAGGTTCTTCGGTGACATAATCATGAGTTTATGCTATTTAACTGTAAACATATAATTGCCTAGCCAATAAGTCTCTTGCTGATCCGGCCAAATATAACTAACGAGATGAACAGGAAAGACCCGTTCCACAGGAGGTCGGCCAGGATATCTGGGTCGCTAAACACGCTCAGCAGGTTTTGCTGGAACGTGAAGTAGGTGTAGACGGCGATAGTTCCCAAAGAGACGATAAATGAGGACAACAGGCCGCCGATAGAGGAGTCCATCACGATCCACAGCAGTGCGCATATGCCCAGGAAGACAAGCGACGCCTCCAGCTTCGACTCCCATTCCACCTTTCTCAATCCGTACGAGAACCCTATGAGTGCGACAGTGAACCTGACAAGCGCAGCTGTTTCTGGGAACGACCGTTTCTTGCCGTTCCAAGTGAAGACGAGTTCAGAAAGCGGTCTGATGGAGCCAAACAGCAGGCCCATTAGGGAATTGTTGAGTATTTCCATTTGGACAGGGCTTAAAGGCAGGTTGGCGTTGTCTCTGACGAGGTAAATTAAGTGAAAATCGGCAAGATTGGGGAGGGCCGGATTTAGTTTGTAAAGCTGTTCGATCAGCTTGATGAAGAGGTTGCCGAGCACGCACAAAACCAGACTCTTGCCAACGACCCTGGTGAACACCCCGACCGCCGACTTTCGCTGGCCTGAACGAGGTGGCGCATGAGAAGCGTCGTCTGGGCTTCTCTTGTTGATGTTCTCTTTTAAATTCTCGTAAATATCGCTTGCATTTTCTGCATCTTGGGCATCTATCAGGTTTTCGCGGCCGCCGTAAATCGAGTACAGCTGGGGAGTGGTCAGTGTGAGGACGGAGGAGTTTCTAGACATGAGGGAGCCCGAGTTTAGCGGCCCTGTCTTACTATCTGGCTCGTCGTTCCCTAAGGTTTGGGTCATTACGCAAACTGCTGGCACAAGGATCGAACAAAAGGGATTCTGAAACTCAAGATGGAGAGTTCGGATATGCGGCTTGTCAAGAAAATCGATCAAATCATGAATTTGTCCTCCAGTATTTATTTCTGTTCTGGCTGATGTGATAATCGCTGAGGTAATATCTGCTCACGATGGGCTTGCATGGAAACGAGGGGGGAACTGGCGCAGATCCAGCCCAATTGCTGACCGGCGTCCACATTCTGCCCCGCTTCCAGACCCACTTCAGCTCCGTTTGAATATCACATGGGTCTCGTTCCGCCAACAACCTGGCCAAAGCGACCCCGCTACATGACCCCAGTCTGGCCGTGGGACATCCGTGCACCGGGCCCGAAATATCTGGATTATAGGGTACGCGTAAGGCCGTGGGGCGCTCCCTTGTGTTGGGGGGAGGAGACGAAGAGATTTGCAGGCATGACAAGAGCCAGCGCCGTTCGGCGTACATGTTGGCATGAGGATGGCCCACTTCTGCGAAAGCCTGCACGTGATAGAGATCACTTGATACCACGCGAAGTCGCCAAACGTGCAACTAATTTTCCCAATGCGGCAGGCGTCGTGCGGGCCTTGCAAAAAAAAAGTAGCCAAATTGGATCAGACTGAAAAGTGTTTTTTAGGTGGACAAGCTCTTCTCCTAGCACTGAACTTGACACAAGCTGAGGGTACCTTACCGCCTTCTGAATTGCACATCACATAGACCCCACAAAAACCAGTTTTATTTGTTCTTTTTCCAGATCGCTAGCTGAATACATCGCTACAGGGGATAGATAATTGTCTGCATACCGCAATGGCAGATTTGTACATTGCGACGTATTCACAGGTAAGTAAACTGAGGCGGCCATTGGCATCTACTAATCTCGTCAGGTTGATGTTATTGAGAGCACGGTGAATGGCATTCCGCTGATGCGCCGGTGCGAGGACGACTGGGTGAACGCTACCCAGATCCTCAAGATTGCGGGGTTTGGCAAGGCGCAGAGAACAAGGCTGCTGGAGAAAGAGGTGCACCAGTTTAAGCACCAGAAGATCCAGGGCGGATATGGCCGATTCCAGGGCACCTGGGTGCCTTTGGACTTTGCGAGAGAATTGGCCCAAACACACAAGATTCCTACCGAAAACTCCAAAGTGTTGTATTATGACCGGGAGAAGGATGCGCCTCTGGAAAAGCGCACCAAGACAAAGCCGTCGGCCGTGCAGGGGGCGGGTACAGAGGCAAGAAAGCGCAAGAGCAAGGTCGACGGCGATGCCGGGCACAAGTCCAGCAAGAAGGTGTCTGGGTTCTCGCAGACACAGGCGCCGCCGACGTTTGGTAGCGTGCACGCGTACCACGCGCAATCCCAGGCTGTGCCACCGATGGTGCCGATGAACACTTCGCAGTACGCCTTTTCTGCGGCGCAGCACCAGTATTCGATGAAATTGCCCGCTTATTACGCCGCGCCGGCGTACGCCGGCATGTCGCAGCTGCCACAGCAGCAGGTGGTGATGCAGCAGCCGCAGATGCACCGGTTCTCCCATAACTACAACAATTTCGGGTCGCTGTCGACGACAGATGGATCGCAGGACGAGCTGCGGCTGAACAGGACAAGTTCCGACACGTCCACGTCGAGCGGGTTCGAGTCCGGGCTGAAACACCCGGGCGAGCTTGCCATGGACTCGTTTGCGCACCACCAGTACAACTTGGGCACGCCGCCGGCGTCCCACATTCTGTCGGAGCACCACGAACTCGAAAACGAGGAGTTCGACTACTACACGGAGAAGCTGCTGAGTTTCTTTGGCAACGACGACGAGCCGATCCCGGACTTTATCCTCAACCCGCCGCGCGACTTCGACATCAACAAGGCCATCGACGACGAGGGACACACGCCTCTGCACTGGGCATCCGCGCTGGCGTCGCACCCGGTGATCCAGGTGCTGATCGAGAAGAACGCGAACCCGCTCATTCTCAATGGCTCCGGAATGAACAGTCTCTCGAAGCTGATCCACTTCACCAACTCGTACGATTTGAAGAACTTTGGAATCATATTGCAACTGCTGCGACAGTGTCTGATTGTGCCCGACGCGCAGGGCCGCACGCCGCTGCACTACATCATGGAGCTGACGGCCAACCCCAACAAAGTCAACTGTCTGAGCTACTATTTCGACGAGATTGTGCGGTTCATCGAGTTCCAACAGAGCGAGGCCGAGCGGCTGTCTGCGGGCAATAAGGCCGACAGAGACCTGCTGAAAATCCTGATAAACCACCGCGACAAGAATGGCGACGCAGCTTTGCGGCTGGCCGTCAAGGCCGGCGAGCCCCACTTCATTGCCAAGCTGATCAAGCTGGGCGCCGACGTGGACGAGGTCGGGCTGCACAACATCCCGCCCGCGGTTGTGCAGGAGCTGCGGCTGGATCGCTCCGAGAGCGCGGAGCCGGTCAAGATCCGCACGCCAATGCAATTTGCTGCCGAGGACGACAACAAGGAGAACGTTTTCGAGGACAACAGCACAATTACGAACAGCAGCGTTGCGGGCAAAGACGACGCCGCGCAGCTGCTCAAGCTCGGGACGCCGCGGTCGCCCGGCTCGTTTTTCGACAGCCTGCGGCTGTTTGAGAGCAGGCTTGCGTCGCTGATGCAGAGCCTGAACGACAGCGTTAGGGACGAGCTGGGCACCAAGGAGGAAGAGCTGGCCCACAATCTCGAGACGATCCGGCAGATGGAGAGCGAGGTGCAGCAGCTGGGCGCCAAGACGGACAAACTGATGGAGCAGCTGCTGCGGGACGCGGACGAAGACGACCGCCGTGTGCTGGAAAATGCGGCGTTCGAGCCGGATGCCGTGCACAGTCTCCTGGACAAGTACGAGCAACAACTGCACGAGAAACACGACCAGCTGGTCAACATGTACGAGCGGTCGCAGGCTTTGGAGCTGGCGAAGCTGGTGCACCAGGAAGAGACGCAGATTAGCGGCGCTGCCGAGCAGGGCACGGCGGAGAAACGCGTCGAGCTGGCCGTGCAACTGACCTCGCTGCAGATCGAGCGGCGCAGTCTGATCGGGTCGATCACGGCGTCGCTCAGCGGCGTATCTGACTCGGACGACGGTAACGCGGCCGCGCTCGAAGAGCGCCGCTTGCAAGCCAAGCTGTACCTGTACCGCAAGCTGATTGCTAGCATCTGCAACCTGCCGTTCGAGGAGATCGACCAGGACCTGCTGACGGGTATTGAGACACGGCTATTGGAGGCAAAGACATAACTACGAACATTAGGCATAATAAACAGGACGTTGTAACTATATCTGTAGATAATCCATCAGCTACTCTTTCTGCAACTCCACACCCCCAACGGCCCAGATTTCGCGCTCGTCCTCGAACTGGTCTGAGAACATGGCCTCTTTGTCGCCGCCGGCCGCCAGACGTTCTCTCTCGACGCTCGCGAGTCGGAACCCGACTCGCTTTGTGTACTCTGTAATTGACCGCAGCTGCAGCGTCTGTCCGCTTGCCGTCTGCAGCGTCGGTGTGGCATTCTTGGCATGCGCCCATTCGTTGAAAAGCTCCATATTCTCGTCCTCCACGAGCTGGAACACCGCCAAAAAGGCCTTTTCCGCCGCCAGCTTGATCGGGATCAGCGGGTCCCGCACACAAAGAAACACGGACGGCGCAATAACGTCCACAAATGGCCGTATACACCGATCGTACTTGAACCGGCACACCGTACGCACCACCACAAGCGCGAGCCGTCTGGTGTCTCTCGAAGTCGACGGCGGCGAGTTCATGCTGACGCAGAGCTGGCGAATGAGGGCACCGAATGCCGTCTCGTCCTCGTCTGCGAGTTCGTACTCGTCGGGTAATTGCAGCATCAGCTTGCCGCACGCCAGCACAGCGTTGTCCGACACCTGTGCGAGCGGCGACGCGCACGCATCGGCGACAAAACCACACACGTCGGCAAACAGCCCCGTGGCAAATATCTGGGCTGGAGCGTCTTTGAGGAACGCGTTGACCGTGAGCACGGCGAACCGCGCGGCCTCCTCGTCGCGCAAGTCGATATCCAGTACTTTCGCACGCAGCATCCTCACTGCCTCGTCGGGCAACATCGTCGACGACAGGGCACCGATCAGCTTCGCATACGCCACAGCGGTGTCGCCGCCAGCGTGCTCGCCCACCATCTCGTTTTCCACGAGCGCCAGTACGCTCGATTTCGACGCGTCGCTCATCTTGCTGCCCGCGCGCAGCACCACCTCCAGTAGAGCACGCAGCATCGCCGTCTTCACGCCGCGATTTTCCGCACCAACGGCGTTTTTCGCGCCCGCCACCAGCTCTGCCACCAGCGGGTCCACACGTGGCTGGTACTCGATCAGAGTGCCCAGGGCCCGCGCTGCCCGAGCCCGCAACAGCTCGTTCGACGTGTCGCTCAGCGACTTGACAAACGTGCGCTGCAGCTGCGGGATGAACGGTCTCAGGAACTGCGGGATCTTGGCAAACAGCTTGGTGAGCGCCAGCAAAATTGCGCTCTTCACCTCGCCGGCGAACCGTTCGCCAATCACTCTGATCAGCGGGCCCACAATCATCGTGACAAACGGCCGCAGCGAGTCGGCCGGCGTGCGGTCCACAACGCCGGCAATGCCTTCGGCAGCCAGCTCGCGCTGCTGCGCGTTGCCGTACATGAGGCCGTTCAAAAAGATCGGCAGCACACAGTTGGGGCCTTTTGGCAGCCCGAAAACGTACAATTCGTGCTCGGGCAACAGCGAGAGCGTGCGGTGAGCGGTGGCCACAAGCCGCTCGAGCGTCTCGCGCGGCTGCCGTTTCACCAGCGCCGTCAACGCCTCCAGACTGTGCGTGGCCACGTCGCGGTCCGCGTCGTCGAGCGCCAGGATCAGCTGCGTCACCAGGTCGTCGACATACACGGAGTAGTCGACGGCGACGCTGTCGAAGAACTGCGGCAGCACGCGGTAGATCACGTGAGTCTTGCGCTGGTCCTCGTGGCGCATGAGAGCAAGCACCT